CCCCCCTCTGTATTTACCTTTAATTTCCTTTAAATGCTTCTTGCCATGACCTTTTGGTATTTTATGTTGAAATGTAATAGCCTTACCTTGTCTTAAAGGTCCACTGTGTAGAATTTAGTGACATCTAGAGGTGAAGTTGCATGTTGCAGCTGAATACTCTTCATCTCACCCTCCTCTTCCCAACATGAAATCGAACCTGCGGTGAACTTCGGTTGTCATGAAAACTCAAAAGGTTTTAGTAAAAAAAAAAAAGAAGGCTTTTTTATAAAAAGGGAGAGTTAACAGGTTTAGGTAAAACAACAATTGGTCCGATTCAGATGAAACACACAAGTGAAAAAACATCACTAGGATCCTTTTATATATTCAATATCTGCAGATAGATCCCTTTCACCTGAAATCTTACACACTGGACCTACAGAACATGCCTCTAGGACCAAAACAAAGTTTTTTTGCAAATCACCCACGTGTATAAAATGCTCTTAATTTTCTTTATTGAAATAGGACACACGTGTCTTTTATGTTGAAGGAGTCCCGTGTGTTGTGTGTGAGCTGGCACATCCGGCCCTGTGGTGCGTTAGTGAGGGGAGGGAGGAGGAGGAGGGAGAGAGAGGGAGGGAGGAGGAGGAGGAGGAGGAGGAGGAGGAGGGAGGGACAGACGGTCTCCTGCTGGTTCCCGTTACGATGCTAACCCCCCCCCCGCACCACCACCTCCTCCCCTCCGCTTCCTGTCGACACTGGAGCAGACTGAGGATCTCCGTGCTCGCGCCTCTGACAGTGAGTAACACCAGCATTCAAACCAACAACCTCCAACACACACACACACACACACAGAGTACTTCAACGAACACCAACACGACCGAGGGAAAAAGGGAAAGTGTTCGATTCCTGCGGCGGGAAGATGATGAGCCCACTCGGTCACATCCAGTGTGTGGAGGTGGGTGACATGTTTACACGGAGCGTGGATGTGGGTCGGACGTGCGATCGAGGCCTTGTCGGTGAATCCGTGTCTGCTAGTGATTAGTTAGCGTTAGAGCTGCTAACTCTGCGCTGCTAAGGCCGCTGCTAAAGCTGCTAAAGGTGAAGCTGTGGCGTCAAAGTCTGCGTCGGAGTCACTTCGAGTCAAAAACAAAACAAACAACATGGCCGAGGGGGGAAACACGGTGACGAGCAGAGCCCGGACGCGAGAGCTGTGATTTGGCTAACAGCTCGCGAAGCACCGTTAGCATGTTAGCAGCCAGAGGAGCTGTGTGAGTGTTTCACTTCATAAAAACCACATGTTCGTGGGAGCCGGGTTATGGAAACATACAAAGTGGAGTTATTCTCCCCCCCCACCCTCACCCCTCTTTAAATCTGCTCCTCTCGTCAGCTGTTCCTCCCAAAATAAACTCACCTTAAAATAAACCCTGCTGGCCACTGTGATGGAGGAGGAGGAGGAGGAGGAGGAAGGGGGGGCGACGAGGACAAGTTTAGTTTAGCAACAGCAGCCTTGTGAAATATGATGGATGCCCATGGTTGCAGTGCAGCTCTTAAGTTTGAGGCTCATATCTTTGAGGAATCAAAGCTTCGATTGTCTCCTGATGTTTTTCGTGGAGATCATCAAATGTGCTCTCAGTCAAATCAGGATCATTGTCCAGATCAGATCATTCGTTTCGGTCATTAACGCTCAAACCATCCTTCATGCTTTCCTCTCCGGCCTTTTCCGACCAAGGCTCGTCAAAGCGCGGTCCGAGGACACCAAGTGTCCGTGAGGGGGGGGGGTCCTCTAGGAGCAGAGTTTGAGCACCGCTGCTCTAGATTACTGTAACTCATGATTTACAGGGCTCCCCCAGAAATCAACTTGTTTAAACCTCAGCCGCTGTAGGGATCTGACAGGAACTCGATAATATGAGCACATCGCACCCATTCTTGCCTCATTGCCCTGGGGACCTGTGGTTTTTAGAAACGATTTAAAAAATGTATTGATCGACTCATTGCCCAGCTTTATACCCCTAATGAGTGATACTTTTTTGAATTGGGAAAGTCTTAACCGCACAACTGCACAAGATTCATTGCTGCTATCTTACCTGTCAAAATGAGCAGAGACTGCTAGCATCCTCACCACTGTCATCAGATTATATGCGTTTAAAAGAACACTGATATTTTGGGCAGACTTTCTGACATTCAGACTCGATGTCTGTCCATCTTTGGTTTTAGAGGGATTTCTAACACTTTGTCTGAAAGCTTTTATTGCACTTTACACAATGAGTTGTCAACCTGTCTCAGTCTCTGTGTGGAGGAGCAAAGAGAGTCACACACAGTTCAACAGAAAGCAGAGAGACACGTGACTGTAAAACTGAAAACTCTTACTGAGCTAAAAGTGCAATTTTCTTTTTTACTTTGGTTTCATGGGGAGCGATACCCATTGGGGGCAAGCTACTCCCAAGACTAGTACGGAAAACACTAACATGAATCATAATATCATAAATATTATGTCATAAACACTTAATAATTTTCTATCTTTACAGCCAAACAAAGGCACATAGGGCACCCTGTTCCGTGTGCCCAGTAGCTCCTGTGCATGTGCTGTGCATATATCATGAGAAACTGAGGCCCTGTTGACACCAGCTATTAACATCTGTCTCAGGTGATCTGAACACAAGCGTCCAGCTCTTACTGTCTTTTTACACCTGCCGGTAGAATGCATCCTCACTGAACACTTGTTATCGGATCTCACTTCCCTGCTCAAAATGCAAATGATGTTTTCGGCCAGTCCAACTATAAAGGTCTGTGTGTGTGTGTGTGTGTGTGTGTGTGTGTGTGTGCGGTTGTCTTTGTGTTAGAAGGAGAGAGAGAGAGAGGATGGGCTGAGTGAATCAATACACTGCAAACAGCTTTACAGTAAGATTTTACCCGTTTGGCAAAGAAGAATGTAGAAAATCAATGATGAGTACAGGGTTGATATTGTGGCAGTGGCCTTAAACAAATGAGTGTATGTTAAACACTGAGAAGTGTACACATGTACACTTGTTAGTTTAATTGTGAAGCTAGAGGGTCAGAAGATCTGCTGAGTTGGCGGTCCCTCAATGTAATCTTATCACTAAGACCATATTTGGATGTGGTCTGGGACACGTGGCCACATTCTTTTACTGAACACTCACATGTATGTGTCCCTCTAACCCATGACAATAGGCGTGTCTGACGCTCGGTTCTTTCACAATCGTCAAAACGGCAACAACCAATATCAGTAAAACACACAACATAGCTAGATTTGTGCTAATGTGCCATGCTAGCTGTCTATTAGACTCCACAACCCGAGGAACACACCGGGTCCACCAGCTGCCTCTGTCTCTTCTCTCCAGGCTCGTATGATGACAGACATGACATCATTTCATTTGTTGGCTCTGGTGCTTGAGTTTTTGTTTGAACGCAAAGAGATTGGCTGGTGCCTGAGCTCCAGCATCTGTAGAAGTGTTGAACTTTCAGATCAGTGTGAAATTGTGGCAGGACTGAGTAGAGGTGGGCTGCCACGGTCTAGGCAATGAAAGGGAAACACTGCCGAAGGTCCGTTACTAACACAGGCACGATAACATCAAACATTTGAGACTGTTTCCAGGAAGAGGAAAAACCGCTTCATTTGCATTGAGCACACGTTTGGCAAACAGCAACAAACGAATACAACATGGTAACAGGATTCAAAATTTGTGATGTGAATTTTTCATTTCATTTGCTATGTATTGCTCTTTTGACATTGCTACTCCTGAAGCTTCATGCACCAGTAGTTTACCAGGCCTGCCATGTCTACACACGGTTGCTGAGTTATATGTGTGGACAGTTGGTGTTTGGGGGAGGGCCTTAGTGAATCGCCAGTTGTCATCACAAATGTTTTCACCGAAGAGCAAAGGTGTAACAGGTGTGGCTGAGTCTCCGGACAGGATCTCCCAATGTTTTACTGTACAGGCTGAACATTACAGGCTGTAGACATATCGCTGCGTCTTTTGATTCATTCTTATGTCCTACATACCAATGATGTAAAATACAGACATAGAAGTATGACTTTACCCTATTTAATCGGTGAATAGATTGTTAACTAAGCTTATTTTACTGTTAAATCTAGACCAGCTTCATGAAACGACTGCAGACAAGTGCAGTCCACCGCTGAGATTACATCATCTTCTTCAGGTACCAGTTAGGAAAGACCACTCTGATTTTAAGAGCAAGCAGAAAGCAGCTGTCTCCCATACACCTGTACAGAAACACACACGCCCTCTGAGGACTCCAGAGTCCTGGATTGTGTGCTAAATATAGCATGGTTTTTATGACACGCAATATGATGTTGGGACGGTGTTGTGCGTGCGTGGTGTCACAAACACACTAATACCTGCACACACACTCATTCTGCGGCCGAACCCAGATGAAACCTCTGTTTTTCATAGAACAGAGTTTTCCTGATGAAGAAAATTTAAATAGGTCAGTTGAACGATTTAGCAAAACAAGGACGAACATAAAGCAGCATGACTGTGTTTGAATTGGGAAGACTGTGGTAAAACAATCTAGATAATGGGGAAAGAATACTTAAATGTAAAAATAGTTCTCAGTTTAATTATAGCTGCCTATTTCAGGAGGTAGTGTCCTTCAACTCTCTGTGTGTTAGCATTTTCAAAATCCCCCTTCTCCCCTGGCAACAACAGTACACACCAGTGACAATGTGCAGCCAACATGTCTGCAGAGATGATGTGATGCAGTCATGTCGACATGACAACCTGAGGTTGTTTGAGAACAAAAGGGAAGAACTATCCGGTGTTTGTTTCGTGTTCTATAAGTTCTCAGTGACTGTATCTTACTAGTCAGGGCGATTTAGGAATATGGTAAAAACAGGCAACAGTGGGACCAACTTTAATGTCACCTGAATAACTGCACACGTATTTCTAAACCTCTGTGACAGAGATACAGCTGGATAACCACACGTCAAGCAATTAGGCACAAGTTCATTTTAGAACTAAGTCTTTTGTAACTCTGGCTAATACTTTGTCTGTTCTTTCTCTGTAGGTGACGACTGTGATGCAGCTATGCATGTTCCTTGGTGGATTTTGACTCTAACCTTTACCTGGTGACAGGACCCTGGACTTGTTATTTCTGTCACCGCCTGACTGTTACAGTCCCTGCACACCCTATAACACAGTCAGTCATGCCGGATGCTGCAGAGTGACAAGTAGCACTGGGAGGGAAAACTCAAGAGCTCCCATCAGATGTCTGCCGTGTTTGTGTAAGAATGAGAAACTGAGTGGGGAAGAAAACGAAAAGCAAGTGAGACTGAAGGGGCTGTAGTGCTTGTGGTGGTGGTGGTGACAGAAAAGTAGAGCCATCCTGTTAGTAGGTTGGCGGCACGTGAGACAGCCAGGGCCTGAGGATGACCAGCCTATTCAGACGCAGTAGCAGCAATGGAGGCTCCAGAAGCAACGGAAGTGGTGGCGGGGGCGGCAGCGGGCAGGGTCAGCTCAACAACAGCAGACCCAATCGGCAGGTCCGACGCCTGGAGTTCAACCAGGCCATGGAGGACTTCAAGACCATGTTCCCCTCTATGGACTATGAGGTGATTGAGTGCGTGCTGCGCTCCAACAACGGAGCTGTGGACGCCACCATCGACCAGCTGCTCCAGATGAGCATTGACGGACAGGGCTCAGATGATAGTTCAGACTCGGACGACAGCATCCCACCAGAGGTGAGTGAAAAGGATCCAAGGGCACCGACACCAGTTAGGAATCGGGGCTTTTGCTTTGGGTTTGTTGTTTTTGAGTCCATTGGTTTCTTTACAGAATGAATGTGTCAAATGTTAAACAGAGGATATCCACTTATCACACACACACAGAGGCTGCTTAGTGGCCATCTTAATTTTAAAAAATAAATACAATATCACAGAGAGGGCTAAATGTGGCATGTTGCATTTCCCTCTGGTGTTAACTGACTAACTTCAGGGTTTGTTTCTAGATTCTGGAGCGAACACTAGAACCTGATAGTTCTGATGAAGAACCTCCTCCAGTCTACTCTCCACCAACGTATGATATGCACATTTATGACAGGAAATACCCAGAAACCCCACCAACACCTCCGCCAAGGTGAGTAACGGACTGGACACATCCTCAGAAGAAGCTGAAGCCTTGATTTTCTAATTATCAGATCTGAAGCTGTTTTTCTGTTTGAATTTTATCTACTGAAATCCAATAAAGGCTTTGTATGATGAGAAACCTCAGGAGATCATTTAAGTCTGTAGGATTCTGCACATAGCCGCACAGATATACCCATAAAGCATGTATGGCAAACTTACAACAACAACAAATGACTGAATTGTTCTGTGACTCTTAGATTTGAAGTCCAGCCACCTCCCGGTCACCAGCAGGTCAGAAGCTACCGGAACTGGAACCCTCCTATGCTTGGAAACCTCCCGGATGATTTTCTACGGATTTTGCCGCAGCAGTTAAACAGTATAAAGGTAAAAAGCTATTAGCATACAGATTTGGAAGTTTCCATTAGAAGATGATAAACTGTGGCTATAAAGAGAACAACAGCAGTACTCAACTAAACTGTGACATTCAACTAAGCTGTATTTCACTGCTGGCTGCGAGAAGCTGCCAGAGATTATACCGAACAACCTCTTCAAGTGATCTCTCATCCAAGAACCTGAATTGATTTTATCACCAATGACCCATCCTGTCTTAACTCCAGCAGAGCTCTCAGAGCAGTCAATCCCAGCCTTCATCGTCATCCTCCCCTTCAGTTTCTTCAATAAGCCAGTGGACAGCCCCGTCTGGTTCTCAGTCCGGAGCTGCGGGGACCACTGGAGGTGCGGGATTGACAACGGGCGGCACAGAGCAAGACAAGAAACTGAAGCAGTACCTGGAAGACGAGCGCATCGCCCTCTTCCTCCAGAACGAGGAGTTTATGAGAGAGCTGCAGCGCAACCGGGAGTTCCTCATCGCCTTAGAGAGAGGTATGACTCATTCCACAGAGGAATCCTGCTCAGACTAATGTTTGGGTGTTATTGGAAATGATGCGGCGAATATAAAAACATACGCATTTGATGTTGTGAGATCGTTTACAGTTTATTACAAAGAAGAAGACTGCCAGCTAGTAAACACGACCTTTCCTATAATATTTATTAACAAGATAACTCCGCAGGGATCAGTTACAAAGACACTTTTAGTTTTTTTTGAACAGTAATTGACGCTCTAGTTATTTTAACGTCTCTATGGAATTACTTTTGTGTAAGAAATGAAACTTGGGTGTATGATCACAACCTGCAGAGCATTATCAGCAACCCAATGCTATTAACACCAGAGGGTGTCGGTGCTAAAACATGAAAACAGAAAGAAAGTTCACGGTCCAGATGTGTCTGGAGGTTCCTGTCAGATTTGTAGTTTAATTGGACAAACATAGGGAGACTGTTGGAACTCTGTCGCTCTGCTATTGGTCGGATACAATGCCACTCCTGAGACCTTTCATTTCCGTCGGACTGTGATCAGTGGATCTCATACAACCTGGCAGAAGTAATTTCTCTATCGGCAGTGACTCAGCATATCCGGTGTGTCTCTGCTCTGCTGGATGGCTGCTCCACAGTGTGACATCGTGTACAGTCTGATGGGAGACTGGGATCGATGGTGCAAATCTAACCATCAGTAGTCTGGTCACGATGAACACAACAGTTCAGTCTCCAGGCCACAGACATGAGATTCACCCTGATTCTATGAGTTACCGCAGCAGAGGAGGTTCTGTTTTCATCTGCAGTTGTTTGTTTGTCAGCACGATTATGCAAAAGCTTCTTAAATTATTTCCATGAAACTTTGTGGAGGGGGGGTGGGGCATGAATCCTGGATGTGTTTGTAGCTGTAACATCGCAACTCGGGGAGTTTTGCAACATTTTAGAGAGCTGAGAATAATTCATGGATCTTGATTTAAAGAAATCTGGCATATTACCGGTATTTATTAGTGTTTGCAATTTGGTGCCGTTCCTAATACAACTCTAGATCCGGTGAATTTAAATGTGGTTTCTTACGGAGGCTGTTGGGTCTTGGCGGAGGTATACGCTCCACTGAGTGCCAATCAAGTTTAAACGGAATAAAACAGACAATAAAAACAAAGATGTGCCGGTCACAGTTTTTATAATTTTGGTTTCTTGCTGCTGCTGTTTGTTGTGTTATATTTGTCTGCGCTCATCTTATGATCCAACACAGTCTCACTCCCAAGTCATCACATTCAGACTGAACCCTAAAGATTTAACATTATTATTATTAATAAACAGAAATATAAACACAACATGTTATAATACTACAGAGTGTTTGCCTATTGGCAGCGGTGATGGAGAAAGTACTGGCATCCCTGTACTGAAGTAAAAGTACTATTGTCACACTTAAAATGACAAGAATACAAGAAAAAGTATTCAGGGTAAAAGTATTGAATGCAGGTAAATGTCGCAGCGCAGCGTCTGTATATGATGAAATGAGAGTGAACGTGTTGTATGATCAAGGCTCTTGCTTCCATTGTTTGAGTAGACTACACTTAAAGCTCCAGTTGATCCTTAATTATGGATCAACCTCCGAGTTCTAAGTTCCTAAATTGCATTATTTAAATACAATTTTGAAAAAAAAGGAGAAAATTATGAAATGAAAGTTCAACTTTGACTTTATTCTAAGCAAATAAATGTCTCCCAGCTCAGATTTGATCTATTTTTTAATTTAAAGCTCATGACATGTATTTGTCCACAGGCCCATCAAGTCTCGTACGGATCTTTTAGTCTTCTAAAGATCTTTAGAGTCTTCTATCAACGGCCCTCGTTCCTCACATGGTGATAAACCAAATATTTGGCTCGTAGTTGGTTTAACACCGTTTTTGAGGAAAGACAGTTTACAGTGAAATGTTGTAAGCAGCACAAATACAATCATTTCATACGTCAGAAATCCAGGCCTTGTTTAGAGCAGCTTTTTAAAACCAGAGTGGTGATTGGTCAAAAGGTTTGTTGTTGCTGTTCTGGTTTCAACAAAGCTTTGAACTGTTTTCCCTCCTCATCAGATACTTGTCAAGATGAACTGATGTGGTGGTTTAGACGTTTGGGAATTCTATCATTCTACCGGAAATCACCACATCGTGTTCATCACGCCTTCCTCACATCTGTGGTCATAACATCTGCTCTCTGTTTTTAGATCGCTTGAAGTATGAATCAAAGAAATCAAAGTCCAGTAATCCATCTAGCATGGAGAGTTCCACAGGTAGATATCACTCATCGGGCTTTTTCTGCCAAAGCTGTTTGCAATGTCTTTGCTCTCTAAGTTCTACTGAGTACTGGTCTGTGTGTGTGTGTGTGTGTGTCTCACTGTGATATGTGTTGATGCTGGAATCACTCTATAAATACTTGTGCTTCCACAGTGGTCAAATTTGAAGTGTGCCCACAGTCATGACTGTACAGTGAATGTGGTTTTGTTGCTGTGTGTCTGTGTATGTGTGCGTGCAGGAGAACAGTGCTCTGCAGCGTCAATGGAAGCCATCTCAGATGACGCTCTGTTCAGAGACAAACTCAAACTCATGGGCAAATGTAAGTCTCATGACTGACAGTAATACTTGTATTCCACATACAGCTGCATTCGACTTTCAAGGTAGATGTGTAGTTTGTTTCGGTATGTACCACTTCTTGTTAAAAAATAAACACAAATGCCAGTAATGCTCTCTGACCTTACTCCTTAAGTGCAGGATATTTATAATTATCTTAACATTTCATCATAACAAGTCAGCTTCTAACAATCAGACTAAGTTTGACACAAGATCGACCAAGACTGTTGTTCAGTGTGTTCCCATGTTTTCATGCTCAGGCTCAACAGACGTGACCATAAACAGACTTTTCTTTTCTTTTTTTATCTTGTTTCATGAATCAACACTTTCAAGTGATGTGTTGACAGTGATGTGTTTCCGACAACAGCCACACTACATGAGGCAAACCGATGTTTGGCCAGGAAGTCTCATACCGAACCAAACATCCAAACGGTCGAGGTCATTGTCTGGTGCCGTTAATAACTTTAAATTCCTTTTCACCTCCAGCAACAAGAAAGAAGCTGTTTGAAATTGCCAGGACGTTCTCAGAAAAGACGAAGAGGAGAAAGTCAAAACGAAGGACGCTTCTGAAGCACCATTCGTATCCTTTGGTCAAACGTGCTCACATTATGTGGAGAACATTCCTTCTTTTATTGTAAAGCCAAATCTTATTTACCTACAACAATCAAATGTAATTTAAAGGGAAGAAAACAATTTAATTCTACTTCAACAACAACAACAACAACAACAATTCATTCAGCAGTTACATCTGACTTTGTAAATTCTCGTCCTCAACGACAGACATCAAAGCCCTTGTCTTTCAGGATGCATTTATTATAATTTATCTTTTATACAAAGAGCAAACACCAGTCATGGATCAGCCTCCATAACTAATCTGTAGTTTGTCCACATCACTGAGACCATGGTGTTCTTAACTAACCGGTCAGACTGGGCACAGCCAACTCTACAGCCAATCTCCTAGACAATGTGGAGGGAAACCCCTGTGGTAAGAACCACTGAGCTACACTTCGATTCTAATACAAACAATTTGAACTTTAAGGTCATGTTATAAGTATTGAAGGTGACGTATTTTCCACCGGTTTTCCCCCTGATGTTCACTTGCTGCTGTGAAGTTCCCCAACAAATCTAAATGAGCATTTATTGGAGGTGCTGTTATGATTCAGTTTTTGTGTTTGTGTGCAGAGGAGGACGGTCAGCCGAGGAGGGCAAACACTCAGGAAGAGGCTGAACAACGTAATGAGCCAATATCATGGTGAGATGCTCCTCAGGTGTTTCTCTGTGGGCTTCACAAGAGTCCTGTTGCTATTTACACGTGGCTTTCACAGATAATATCACCGACAAGGAAACCGCATCTCAAATGTTTCCATATTAAAACAATCCAGATATTCACATACTGATACGAATCATCATCCTACTCCCACTATCAGTCACAGTTTGTTCATTTAACATTTTATTCATCCCGTCTCTGCTCTGCCTTTCAGATCCTCCCGTGCTGCACCGTGTCAGGGTTACCGTGGAGGAAGCAACGTGATCCATGGGTGGTGGCCTTGCAGCTCTTCCTGTCTCCACCTGCTCACCCCCCACCCTCCTCCAGACCAGCCAATAACAAGGCTCAGCAATGAGTTGAGACCCCCCCCCCCCCTCTTCCTTCCCTTCCTTTTCCAACGGAGCAGAAATGGGCCGACTGTCTATAAACGTCTTATCTTATCTGTATTATAACACTTTGTTGATATATAATTTTAAATGTAAAGGAGCATTAGTCCTCACCAGTATTTGTTAATGGCTTCCTTTAGTTCACTGAGAGGAAACACACACCTTGTGACCCTTTGTTACTCCTCCTGTTGTGTTCGGTAGCAGACGATATGTTTGTGGGGTCCCTCAGGCTGGGCATTTCAAATCCAAAGTGTGCACATTCCCCTTTATATACACTAAACCATGTAGAGCTCTTTTTTACCATGTTTTCTTATCCAGATTGTGATATTTTGCTGTTTCTCAACGTCAGGGGTTATGTAACTGAAATTCTTTACTGTCAGAATCTTAAGGCCGCTCGTGATGTAGCTCACCCGATGTCAACACTCGTCCGTGGCCGTGAGAACCATGATCACAGTCAGAAGACGGTGCTCCTTTAAAGAGAGACTGGTTTGGTTTCTTTGTCCAGTCTATTGTAGCAGCACTAACAGCAGCACAGGTAGAAGCTGTGATGAGATGTGTGGTAAGAACATTAAACATGGGTGACAGACCTGGGTGTCACGCTTTCAAATTGCAAACAGCATTAAACTTTGAAACCAGCAAACAAGCTGGTGTCGTCTGTACTGAGTACAGCACGATTTCAGACAGCGTGTCCCTCAAGGTGTGTAGTGTCCGACTCAGTCGTTCACCTTCAAAGAAAGGGACCTAGTTGGGTGAAGATTGGGGGAAAATATAAGTCACACACTAAAGCAGTTTACTTTGAGAGAGACTGACATTTTCAGTTTCATGGTTTCACAAAATTGTCAATTTCTAAATGACATTGAAAACGTGAGAGGCAGCCGAGTGAGTGGGACATCCCCACACAACTACTACACAACTTCAATGTCTGGTTTAATGGCAGAAAAGCAGGAAGGACAAATTAAAAATGTTTTCCAGAAGCCAGTGTCTGATGGGTGAGGGTTCTCAGTCACTGCACCAGTGACTCCTCATGATCACCCCTGCTCACCCCATGGTGGCGCCCCTGTGTCTGGCAGCTTAACAGAAACAGCGATCCACATAAAAGTTTTGAAAATAATAGCAAAAGAATATCTAGCGCTCGTCAGAGCTGACGAGTAGCTACCAGATGTCAACATCTACCTCCTTCTACCCATAAGCCCTTGCATTTTTAGGGTCCTGTCCTGTTGGTTTGCTTTATGTTTTCACTCCTGCCACCTCCAGAGGAACTTTGCTGATGATCTGCCGGGTTTTCCACAACTCTCGCATTAAACAGTTTCTGCAAGATGTTAAGGAAATGCAGGTTATCGCTCGGAGCTCTTTGCTGTATCTCAGGTCGTCCCTGTCGTCTCCGAGCAAGTCACGTCAGAAAATGAATGGTTGTGATGTTTGGGAGGATGACACTGAAGTTGGAGACTGAAGTTGGGCAAAATGGAAAAAAAAAAAAACTGCTTTTGAGGTTTTCATCCTCACCGTTCTGCTGTGCTTTTCATTTGTTTGTGTAGATGTGAAACTAGCATGGATTAGAGAAGTAGCGACAGACTGATGTAGCCTGTGTGAACAGAGGATGTCAGGAGAGGAACACCTTAAGCGTAAACGTGTGTAGTAAATTTGCATTGCAAAGATTTCTTGGAAAACTGCCTGGATTTAAAGGTTCAGTGTGTAAGATTTAGTGACATCTAGTGGTGAAGTGTCATGTTGCAGCTGATTACCCTTCACCTCACCCTCACCTTCCAAACATGAAGGAGAACCTGTGGAAGCTTCAGTCGTCATAAAAACTCAAAGGGTTTTTAGTTTGTCCAGTCTGAGCTACTGTAAAAAACATGGCGGCCTCCGTAGAGAGGACTCGCTCCTGATGTTTTGTTCATGATTAATATAAAGTATTTAAATATAAAGGTTCATTTTAGAGTAAAGATGACAACAATTTGTACAATTTAGATGAAACACACTCGTGAAAACATAACGGATTATTTTCTATCCACTTTCTGCCTAAAGATCCCTTTCCCCTAAATCTGACACACTGGACCTTTAAGTTTTAGACAAATTAGATTAATTAACTTTCTTCTTTTGTACATAAAAAGTTTTTTCTCATCACTCTTGGATTATTATTCTCAGTTATGTGAACGTTCTCTTTCCCCATTGATTAAAAGTATTTAACAAACTATTTGCTGATTCAGTGATGAGCTAAGTTTGAATGTTGGGCAGTGTTTTTATGTTAGGAATCAAGTCAACGGACCATTCCAGTGTAAATGCACGTTTCAGACCATGTACTGTAACATCATTGTAAAGCTTCATCTACGAATACTTTTACATGAACTGTGGATCACGACGATGTGAAAGTTTGGGAACCACTGGACCGATCACCAACTCTGCAGTTTTGATTGTTTCTTCGAAGCATCAGGCCGCTCTGTTAAAACACTTCCTGCGGAGCGCCCGGTAGCAGCTGGCTACGTCACATAATGCCTCATGTAGCAGCTAAGACCTCAAATGTTTTTTGAGGTGGAGACCAAAACTGAGCAAGAGGAATCAAACACACAGGACGTGATGGTAAAAACTGTCCCCTGTGCCGATAGGTGTTGAGCAGATTCACCTTGTAGTCGATTGGCAGGTGGGGGGTTCTCAGAGTTATGTGGGGGAGGGGATGTATCTTGGCCTGGCTTAGGTTGTGGACAAGTGGGCACATGGTCAGTAGTGTCACATTGTGGGGTTCAGTTGTCCAGTGAGCTCAGTATGGGTCATTCCACTCGAGCCAAATCCAGTGGCTGCTTCTGGCCCGGTCGTGGTTTCCCATCTTCTCCAGCGGTCTGATGGTAGAAGAATCCACAAACCCTTTCAGATTATCAGGTGTCAGTGACATAAGCGTGACTTCAGATGACCTGTGTGTTGTGTTGCTCTGTGTGTGCTGGATGTGTCGGTCGTTTTTGTCGACACGTGTAATATGATTCGTGTTTCGACGTCTGCTGCTGCCGACCAGTGGCCGAAAAGAAACAACCATAGCTTTAAGTAAAGGGCTGAAACATGCAGAATCAGAATCAGCCAAACGTTCCTGAGATTTTAGCGCCACTGTGTTTGAACATTGACAAGATCAACTCCATTAATTTTCCATTAAATATCAAAGAGGTATTTTAATGAACAAACGGACATTCATTGGTTTTTTGGGGGGAATTGAACTTGTGTGACAGGCAGAGTTTGATTTGTTTGACACACCTGACACGCACAAACCTGCCATTCAGGTTATTCATGTAAACTTAAAGCATCATTTCAACTAACACATCATTATTTAGTCAGAGTGGAACGTGAGGGAGACGGGAATCACTCAACTTAAAGTTGCTTCTGTCACATCGCACTTTGGTTTTCTGTTTTAAAGTTATCACAGAAAGATTAGTCTTCCAATACACACTGCTCGATTTAGAAGACGTCCACATGTGACAGAGCACTAAAGGGAAAATCCGCTCAAAACAATCCAACACGAACCACGTTGTTTGGAACGTGAAGATCTAGACCAGTGGTTCCCAAACTGAGGGCGGGGAGACAAAGAGGGGGAGGGGTCGCTGCAAGATGGTTCCCAGAATTAAACATGTCACCGGCCCTTTCGATTTTCTATTTCCTCACTTGGCCGTGAGGAGACTGTGACGGTTCAGCTGCAGCCGCTCATTTCACTGCAGAACCTTCTCCCAGTTAGTGAATAATTCATGAAATCAGGCACATTGAGGATTTTAATGAGTGTGTGTGTGGAATTTGGTGCTGCTCGGTGTAAGTCAGGGCTGTCGGTGCAGGTATGCGCTCTACTAAGAGTCGTCCTAGTTGACAGACTGTCTTTAAATTCTAAGACATGTTAATCAGTGTCTGAATCCCAGTGAAACCTCCGACTGACCAGTTGATCAGGTTGTGTTAGTCAGACTCCTTTCAGCCCATGTGTGGGTGGGACTGTTCTACATATTTAAAACAAACTAGCTATCAGTTAAAGAAATGGGGCAAACATATTAATAATAATAATATTCTTCTTATTAGTCATTTGGGTGGATTTTCTCTCTCTCCTGATTGGCTCAGTCAGTCGTTGGTAACTGACTCTTGTGTTGAAGCTCATGAGTTGTGCAGTGCTGTGTGTCATCACAGTGTGAGAATGTGTCATATCAACAGAGGTCACTGTGCAGACGCTGTGCTGCAGCTTCAACATCACGCAGGTTTGTTTCTCCTCACACTCACGTTCGGTTGTTAGGGATTTTTTTTTTATTTCCACAGAAGTTTTCTCATAGGAAGATTTCTCAAGTCATTTCTTACTCGTGCTGTACCTCGTGTCTTTTCTTTATGAATTACTGTATATTTGTAAATATATTAACCATTAAAAAATTTTCTATAAAGAAAACTTTTGTCACAAGTCATGAATTCACACACACTTTGTAAACTAAACTTAAACTCAAGTCACCCCAACTGTTACTACATAATTTGTGAACAGGCCTGTATCTGTCAGTGTGGAGATTAATTGTTTTTAATTCTAACTAAACCTTAATATTTATTCCTCATCACACAGTTCCAGGATATATTGTAACTGATTGTTTTTTCACAGAGATTTTTTATAAACGGTCTATATGGTGCAGAGTGAAGTGAGAAAACTTTGTGTTCATCCTACCTGGTTTATCTGCGCTTTGGATTTTGAAGTCAGTGTTTTTCATAAAACTAAACTTTTATTACTTTTCATGTTTGTGGCTTATATTTAAGTCTTATTTTTTAAATTTGTTTTGTTACGTTTCCATTTCTGAGTTCTGTTCATCAATCAATCTTCAGATCCAAGTTCACAACTTTTCAAAATAAAAGCCCTGTTATGTTTTACTGACGACACACCGACCGCAACAGAATGCTGGTCATCTGTTAATTTAATTTTTATCAATATTCAAAGCACTGTTATTAAATCACACACACACACATATATACAGTATATATATATATATATATATATATATACATTTCTCTTATATATGTGTAAACCAATAAAAATCAACTATCAATCATATCACTCATTAAAAAAGGCGCGGAGCCCTTCACATGCACCCTCTAGTTTTGTAAATCCATTTCAGTCTGTTGTAGAAATGCTCTCATCACCAATGACGACACAAGGAAAATGCCAAAACACACTTTCAATAACTTTTATTTTTTCTCCCTAATAGATCTGTACAATCAGCAAATCAAACTTAAAGATGAGCCTAGCAAAAAAACCGACCTGTACATGTTAAATGCTTTTAGGCGACGACAGCTTAACATCCATTTAAATAATCAAATGATGACTTGTCTAGCTGTGCAAACACATACAAATCAGTCCCACGGTGTGAGAACAGCGAGCGAGTTGACTGAGGAGAGGGGAGGATGAACCAGAGCAGACCAAACAAAAAAAAATGTTCCCTTTATAGCTTGTTCTCTCCAGTGTTATAGAAAAGTACAGTCCAATATCTTATTTACAGAAAAATGAACACTAGTCTACAGGGTCTATGGGCAGCAGGGGGCAGTGGCGGGGTGGACGAGGGGGGTTACTTCAATCTGTTTTAAAAAAAGGAGAGAGAGGAGCAGAGTTCATGTGAAACAGGAAGGATGCACACAAGCCAGTGACAGACAATATGGCTACTGCTCCAATCCCGGCACCGACCTTCTTCAGGAGGTCATGCACGCGGACGTCCCACCTACTGCACGTCACTATCCAAAAGTTTTCAAGCACAATCCACCGTCAGCTGCCCTCATGCATGTTGATTTCATCACCTTATTAACCATTCCTGAGATACAGTATCGAACTGAACAAGTGTTGTTTACCTACAGTGTGTGACGGATGACAGCGGTTGTGTTCCTAGACATCAGTGTCAGATATTTAAACAGTTAAACCCCCCCCGTACCCACATTCTGTCCTTCAAATAGTCCAAATAAAGCTGCCTTATTGCTAGAATAACATGGACTTTGTTTCCACTGAAGAACCTCATCAAAACTATGAAATATGCAGACTCGACGTTATTTAGAATTACAGTCGTAAGGTGGAAACGGACCCCTTCTTCACTGAGCCACTTCAGGCTGAGTCTGTTTGTTAAAATGTCTGTGCAAACACAGGGAAGGTCTGACTTCATAATGCTGAATAAACACGTCTCACGAAGACAGATGAAGAGAGAGAAGTTAAAACCGGTGGTAAAATGCTCCCGGCTGAGCAGGACGCTGCTCTTCACATGTGGATCAACTCATCCAGACGTTCGGGTTCAGCAGCATCGGCTTGTTCTTAACGTTTCAACTCGTTCTTACTTTAGTGTTGAGTTTACTAGATCTTTAACCTGGTAACTGATCTGTGACCAGTAACACGCCTGCCTGCTCATTGTTCTTTGTCAAACTTTGTTTTCATCTCAAATTGTTCCCTGGGATATGTTACCATGGTAACACATGCTACACACAAACATTAGAATTTCTTGTTCTGCCTGTATTTCACAGGCCTCCTCTACTCACTGTCTATTATTAAACACATAAACCCACAAGCTGTTAATTAGCTCCCATGAAATCACTGGAGCATCCTTTAGGTCAGACAGATTACTTTTCAATTCTCATGTGTCACATCTGAGCGTTTTGTTGACAAAAAGAAAATTTCTTTTCATGTTGAACTTCAAAATGTTTTCTGAAAGTCAGATTTCATAGCTTTAATTTAAATGTTTCATTACTTTTTTCTGCTTTGTTGCTCAATTAGAAACATTCGGCTCGAGAAGCCTCCAGGTAAACACGCCGACAGCGGGAGAGGAAACCCCAGAGTTAGAAAATAAAGTCAACTGTTGTCCACATGTGAAGAACGAGGCTCTGCTCTGTCAGTGTCGAGCAGTGGTTGGTTTAAAATATGTGCCTAATGACAAGCAGGTCTACAGCGAAGGGCAGCAGAGACATTTCCTTTATCGTGGTTCCCTCATTGAAGTCACAGTAACAGCAGCAGTCTGCCATTACGTCACATTAATCACTAATATAGTGTATTAATGCTGCGACCAGCTGACTAAGTCCAGTTTCTTTGGAATCAGGATTAAACCTCAGCGGCCTTGAAGTAATTTGCTGAACATGAAATACTGTCACTCACAGTAAACCAGCAGAGACCAGTCGACTCTGACCTCGAGCAGCTTTCATTCCCTCAGATTTACATCTTTGATCATTGTTTCCAAATGTTTCCTAAATTCCAAATGTCAGTGCAACATTATGCAGCTTGTGTTTTTATCTCGTGCACTAACGTGCTGTATATAAATCCACCGAGCACTTTACTGTGAACACCACAGAAGCCACGCTCACACACATCGCAGGTCCAAGTTCACCAAAGTTGTCCGCATCAAAGCCACAGATTGGTTTGGAACTGAAGCAGTGATGTGTGTGACGTCACACCGGGCAGTTCCTCTGCAGCGGTTGTCAGAGTTACTTTTGTATTATCTTGTTTCTCGCTCCATTTGGACACATGAAACTCGAGAATCTCAGGAGATCAGCAGGTTCAGAAATACTCAAACCAGCTCATCTGATTTTTCTTTTTTTTTTTTACTTTCCATTTCTGAAGCTCCTGACCTGTGCCTCCATGACTGGGTTTTGTTCTGCTGCCACAGATCCCTGTGTGAACAGGCAGGTGTTCCTAATAAAGTGCTCAGTGAGTTCACGTCACCAGGTCTCAGGACTTTGAGGACACCAATCGTTAGGACTTAGAGCCACTATAATAATCTAAAGTGTTTACAGTTAAGTCAGTGTTTAAAAAGAGAACATATGTAAATGTAAAACAGGCCCAACATAAAGAAACATATCAGCCGTATGTTAGCTTCAACAGGCTGCTAGAAACAAAAATGCACCCTGGAAATAATGACTTTGAGGACTATTGCCCAACTTTCCAAGTCCCACTGTGAAAAGCTATTTAACTGCTTGTTGTCTGGGAGCTTGACATTCCTGGTTCTTCTGTAAATCAGTGGAAGTTGGTGGAGAAACGTAGAGCAGAGGCAGCCAGCTCGTTCCTCTACATGAGCTGGAAGGTGCTGCAGCTCTGGAGGGAGACCCCAGAGAAGTCCACGTCCCGTGAGGCCACAGGGCTGGACAGACCAGCTGGGTGCTCTGTGCTCCACGAGGGTCAACAGTCATCAGTTTGTCTGCCCCCCCCCCCATATTCTATCCAGGCGACTCTCCCAAAAACATCTGCTGAATCAAGTTTGAAAAGTAAAGCCCTACAGGCGACTCTAGCCGACGTGTCAGTGAGACTCACTCCACAGTCTGATGGAGGCGCCTGTCCGTCCACACAGCATCATGATCCACAGTCAAAGTGCAAAGGCCCAGAGCAAAAATTAAGGTAGGATAGGGAGGGGAAAAAAATATTTGCTGCACCTTTATTTAGTTATAATATAGATTTTCTTTTTTAAAAAAAATTCCCAAGTACCTCTTCCTTTCCTTCTTCAAGTTCTTTTTTGTACAGTACAAGAGGGGGAGGTGGTCTCATTTTGAAGCAGTGCTGGGTTCTTGTCGATTATGCCTGGAAACAATTTTTTAATTTCTTTTCAAAAGGAAAAAAAAAAAAAAAAAAAAAAAAAAAAAAAAAAAAAAAAAAAAAAAAAAAAGAAAGACAGGAAGAACAATCTTCTTAGATCCAGTGGTGGGGGGGGGCTGGGAGCACGGGTCAGGATACCAGACTGCTGACCACGAGAGAAAAGGGGGGAGGGGTCAGGTGGAGGTGTCGAGGTCAGAGCACGTTAGGAGTTCAAAATCCATCCACCCAAGTCCCCAGGCCTCTCTCTGCCAGTGCACGGTTCACTGAGATCACCTGGAAACAGACAAACATTCATTAATCCTCTTCGGCCGCTTTTTTTAATTCTGTTAAGCTTCAATGAACGAAATTCAAAATTGAAGACAAGACGCTGGATTGACACGTGCACTAATTCATGAAGTTTTCTGGAGGAGCTGTGCGTGAGAGGGTCAATTTAACCAGGACAAACTTGATCACGAGGAGTTTGCACAGTAGAATTTATTCAGGTAGGTGTGGCAGAGCATCATACCTCTTCTCCAACCATGTTCCACAGGTGGACCAGCGGGAGGCCCGTGTTGTTGTCATAGTTCGATACCTTCACAGAAAGACAAACGAAAGGTTAGAGAGGAGTGTTGACTCTGTGCTGTGCTTCAGCGACGGAGGTGGCCTCACCTGTGCAAGCAGCGCCACTCCTCTGGTCATCTCCTCCAACGCTGATGTTGCCTCTGGTGAAAAACGATCTTCTCCTGATGAAACACACATTTCTGTAAAACTATATCTGCACTTTGCACACAGATAAGTTTGGACTTGGATTTCAGACACAAAACAATGTCGTACCTGGAAGCGGGGCGATGTTGTCGAGCAGCACTTCTGCACCTTGAAATGGTAGTGTTACAAAATCAGACCTGGAAAATAAGAAGAGGGAAAATCTACATGTTAGAAGAATATTTCATCTAGAAAATACTGGGAAAAGTTACAAAGTGTAGCTTTAAGAAATGTGTCTGAAAGCTTTAATATTTAAATAAAAGTTATTTCAGACACACACAGAGCTTATACCTATTTAGTGTAGGACTTCCAGAGTAAGAAACTTCCCCTGGATGGCAGAACAACAGCCCCCTCTAGAGTCTATCTTACCCTACACGGCCAATAAATGAGACCGCACAGATCACTGCTCGCTCCCTCCCTCCCTCCCTCCCTTCCTTCACACGCTCAGCCCACAACTCAGACAGCACAGTGAGCGACCCCACTCATCCCTGTCATAGCCTCTTCAGTCTCCTGCCATTTGGGAGAAGATACCAGACACTGATGCACCACACTGAGAAACAGCTTTGTCCACCAGGCTATGACGCTGCTCCACTCTCTGCCCCTCTGCCTCCCAACGGTCTGGAACTGTGAACTTACCCACTGACCCCCTCTATGCGTCCGGCAGTAGCCGCCACGGCAACCTTTTATGCAAACATTCGCGCGGAGCATGGCGTGATACTGGCGTGTCTTTCCACCACTATTTGCTCTGCATTTGTTTTTACAGTTCTAGTGTTGATCTGGATCGTGAGGTCCAGAGAAGTCTTTGCATTATGTTTGTAAGAAAGTTAGAAGTATTTTACAGTATCGAGTGTAACAGCGCGTCTCTACTTCCTCCTGCCATCCAGAAAATGGAGCCAAAACATCCCAGGTATCAACACTGCTGTCTTAATGACATCTTACACCGATGACGTCATTTGGCGTACTTTTTAAAGCATTAAATAAGTAATTAAACCCAAATTTATTAAAAACATCAACACCTGAACAGAGTCGAGAGGTTTTGGCTTCACTTTGAGGAGCACGTCATGTCGTCTACCTTTAAATATGGTTGTAAAACAGTGGAACTCACCTTATTTGTCGTAGTGAGTCGATCTTAACTCTGTCGTAGCCTCCGTAATCCACGTATCTAATCTCCACCTCACTGGTTTCTTTATAGAAGGTGATGACCTGAGCTCTCCACCAGGCCCCTTCCACTGCTGGGGCTGCACAGATGACACCAACTGGAAGACACACAAACTCATTACTGATGCTGCAAGTCACAGTGGAACCACGCTGAGTCGTGCCCTGTGGTCATGGCAACTCTTTTTGTCTTTAATACAAACTTAACATTCAAATGTAACATGGTGATTTTTATGATTTTTGAAGATGCAATTCAAGCTGCTTGTTGTTTCAAAGGTTTATGAGAGAAGAGAACGTCTGAAAGTGCAGACACATTATCGGTGAGCTCTCATCCCACCACGTGACCACGGTTACCTTCAGCCGGTGAGGGCAGGGCCGGGGTGCCGGGCTGGGAGTAGCAGAGGAACATCTGCTGGTCGAGGCTGCGCAGGGCGTGGTAGGTGGGGTGTGTGTGCTGCTGGACAAAGATGTGGCCGGCTGACACGATGTTCACCACTATCACTTCGACTGTCACTCCACTGGGGAGCAGGAGCTGAGAGGACAATCGACAAGACGGCAACTGTTACTGCTCCTGTTAATTATGACATTTCATTTGACTAAACCCACACTTCACAGAACTATTATTTAAAGAACTCATGGCAGTGCAGAGGGAGGCGCCAATTGGTTGTAAATTCATCCTGAAATGAAAAGCAGCAGCCAATGAACAAACATTCAAGATAGAAGTCCTTTTGGGTCATAACTTGAAATCTGCTTATTTTAATATTTACTTTGCAAACACGGAGATACAGAAGAAAATGACTTGATGTATTCATGTCCCTGTGTTGTATGTGCAGCGTCTTTGAACTGGACTTTCTGGTGCATTTTATTTCCTCACCTGTGACCAGAGGAAACACTCTTTACATGTCAGGAATCTAGATTTTTACAATGCTGTACTTCTAGGTAGCTTGTTCGGTTATGAAAATTAACAATAATACCAGTTTTTTATATAAACCACAGATATTCTACTGGGTCGAAGGGACTTTAACAACATATTTTGTCAAAAGGGACTGAGGAAGATTTGTTGGCTTTGCAGATTAACGAATCTGTATTTTACCAAACTAAAAATGAATCCAAATGGCACCTGCCGCCAACTTTGACTCAAGGTGAGACCACTGAACAGCTCAATGTCTATCGTGTTTCCACCACACGACCAGGACGAACTCACTAAAATGAGAAACTTTTTATTCATCTCTGACGAACACTTCCTGCTAGTAGACAGTTCCAGTCACACTTGTGTGGTTGACCTGTTCAAACTTCTCTTTACAGAAGAAGACGGTTATTAACTGAAGCTCACATTAAACGATTAAAAGCACAGTTTTAAAGATGCGTCTGTACTCCCACACAGCCTGCCCCTCACCTGTGGATTATCATGAATGCATTTTAAAATTAAAAGATTTTCAAGACACAAGCGGAGTCCCAGAGCCCAGCCTTACCCAGGAGGTCATAGGAAGTGATGGCAACGTGAGTTGGGGCGGTGGAGGTGCATATAGGTTCGTTAAATCCAGATCTTTAAACTTCTTCCCAATCAATGACAGGGCTTTGTCAACCTGCTGCTGTGTACCTGCAGAGAGAGAGAGACCAGTTAGTTTAGGTGCAAGTTTCCTGCCCCAAACCCATCAGAGGACTTGAGGTGAAGTGAAGAGGTGGTCGACCTCACTCACCCTCTATGTGACAGATCTGGAAGTCCTGTGTGTAAGGCAGGGTGGAGATGTAGATCTTTGCACCAGAGTTTTGCTTGACGAAACTCACAAATCTTCCCTGCTTGCCGATTAACCGCCCGACAAGATGCTGGTGCAGGAAGAGATGAGATGTCACACGTCAGAAGGACCGTTCATAAAAACAGCAACGGTTTTCACTGAATAAGAACGTACCAAACACCAAGAGCCAAGCCGCAGTTCAGACTCTATATAGAAAAAGGTATTCCCTATAAATGTCTTGTTTCTCCGGCTAGTCCAGTAGTAAAATCTCAGGATAATGTCTGAATGAGCAGCTGTGAGAAGACACAGCAGGACATTTGCTGCAGGATTCACTATGAGCTTTGATGACATGAGCAGACGCTGGTGTTGATATGCTGTTAACGAAAACATGAATGGATGAATGGGTTGTGTCCTGCCTCTGTCTGCTGCACCACCCCTCACCTGAACACTCCAGAGATTCCTGTGTTGTTGTGTATGGTTAAACCACTGCACTCACACTGGGAAACAGGAAGGGAACTTGTGTGTTTGGTGTAAAAGGGTCATGTCACACTGAGGATGTATGTTTTTAATCCTGTCAGTTGTCCCGACTTACCTTTGGCACCTCAATCTCCCAGATGATGAGCTCAGAGCTCGAGGAGGCAGCGTGGTTGCTCTGGCTTTCCCCAGTACCCATAGTGCAGCCGCTGTCCATTGAGTCCATACTGTTCACATCAGAGCCTGGACATACACACAGACACACAATAATCAGTAACCACCACCTTTACCAGCAATAATCTAATTCACAACATCGTTAGTAGTTCAGGTTCCAGTGCACATTACATCCTAAACTATCTGTTGTCGACACCCGGCCTTCAGATCAGAAGTAGGATGTAGCATCTTTGGAGAACCACAGGCCTCATACATTTCTCAATACACAGAGTGCATCACTCTAGCCTCTTCAATGTGATGGCTGGAACTGGTTCTTTGGTAAAGCTGGTTTTCTAAGTTAACGTCAGTGATTTTGAAGTGTTTTTGCACCAGTCACTTTTGTATAGAATGGAGTCAAAGCCCTCAAACACATGAAAAATTTTGGGCTCATCATACATACAGTTTATAGAACTTGAGAAGAGTTCTATATAGAACTTGTTGCTTTACAGCTCAGTGATTTTGGGTTGTAGGCTTTCAGGCACATCAACACGAACGACTCAACAAATACGTTCAGTTCCTCTTGTTTACTCTTCAAGGTAAAATGTCTCGCCTAACGCCTGAAGGACTTTTGCAAAGTCAACCTCATATTCAGATGTCATAGCAGACTTATACAGGAGGGAAATACAGTGTTTGCCCACAACAAACAATTCTACTCAGTGGAAACGAGGATCCTTCGTAAATTCTCAGACTGACAGAGGTTTCAGCTTCTCAGCTTTAAGCTTGTTCACTGCAAAACTTGGCTGCACAACATTGTCTCCGTCAGTGTGGTCTTGAAAACCCTCCAACTCTGCTGAAGAGCATTTACTTTATCCAAGTGACTTTTAACTCATCCAGTTTAGCTGCGAGCTTCAACGACACATGAAATCAGTCTTTTTCATCACTGCGAGCACGTTGTTGCAAACTAGGCACACCTAGTTTTTAATAAAAAACTTTCTTTTATTTTCTTGAGGCACCATGACTCCAGCAATAACATAAAACAGCTGCATATGTTTCTTTCACCCTGACTGTGACCTGACAGACATAAAGCCTGAGGGCACCACCCTGAAGCACGTTACTCTATTTTAAGAAATTGTCTTTAATTACTATCAGGAGACATTATTTTTAATTCTGAGCATTTGTATCTTTGGCCTTACAGGCTGTTTATAGCAGGAGGATGAATATTTCCAAACCTGCTTTCGGGGTATGTTAATTAATGAATTCATTTTTGAGAGGCATCAGTGTGCTTGGTGGAAAGATGAGTATTTACGTTGAATTTTACATCACAAGCAGCTTGGTTGCATTTAATAGGTTATCCATTTTCACCTCTCAGACCTCTCTCAGTCAAAGTGCTCACTCATGTCCCTCTACGAAAAGACAAAGACACAAGAAGACTCAAGAAAAGCGTTCCACCACAATAACATGGACACCAAAATATTTGATACTACTGAATTTTAACTATTGAATGTCATCCCTGCCAAGCAGAAGGAGGCTATTCTGGTCATGTGGGCATCTCAGGATAATGGGAGTGGGGGTCCGACCCGAGACACGTGGGACAAACTGCTCCCTGAAGGCCTCGGAGAGGAGGAGGAGGAGGAGGTCCTCAAGCTGTTTGAGGAGTATTCTGAGCTTGGGCAGATCAAATTCCACAGTAACGTCACACCAGCTGGCTGGAAGGGAATACCGTGGGGAACTATGTTCTCAGACATGACAGGTCCTATGGAGTTGCCATATCATCGAAATTTGACCATTCAACTTCAAGTTTGTATTCAACTTGTAATGGCTTATTTAAATTCAGTGAACATCAGTGAAATAATAAATAAGTCAGTGATGTCACGTTAATTTGGTGAAGGAGGCTAGCAAGTAAAGCCGTCCTGAGCGGACAATCATGACACCCTTGCATCTGAGAAGCAGTGTGTGGAAGTGTTCTGGGTTCTACACTGTAGATGGTAAGGTTATCAACACTGAGGCCGTTCGTCTTTGTACCAAGCAACTGCCTCCTAACAAATCTGTGGGCTCACCTGTTAGCAGCAGCTGAGGAGGCAACACGGACAAGCGGAGCAACGTCAAGTGTTCAACCTCGTCAGCCTATATTTGACAGATCTATTCTTTTCAATTCTATATCATTCAATACTTGTGAGTGTGTCATGTATCCGCAGTGCACTGGTGGATCCCCACACAGACTAAATGAGTTGATTAAAGAGAAAAAGATGTTGTGACTGTAATACTGTATGATGTTGTGTGTTTTTCTTCTTATCTGTATCAAATTTTATTTGTATAAGTAAGTTTGGGAAGGAAATCCCAGACCACTTGAAAACTACATCAACAGAAAACAGCAGGAATTGTAGTGCAGGTTAACATTTTACAGTTTCACCTGTCTTGTTTGACAGCAGACTGATCTGAGTGTATATGAATGATGTGGTATTTGTTATGTATAATTAGATTAGAAGTTATTGATCTTCAGGGTGGTTCTTATCTACAGATATGTTTAATAAGGATAAATGCTAAACATCAGTCATTATGTTAGCTATAACATTAGCTTTCAGTTTGTACCATCCTCAGCTCTCTTAGTGTTCAGTGTAAATAATTCAAATGTTACTCTCAGCCGATGCATCTATCAGATTTTGACATCACAGTATCAGGACTCAGCAACAATGCTTACACAAATGCCCAGAACAAACAGATTGATGTCTCACCTCCCGACTGGTCCGTCTCCACCTCACATGTCCCATGAGCTCCATTCCTCAGGCTCATTCCGTTGAGTCCCTTTATTTCACATGCGGCATCCACCGAGTTTTCTTCAGTTACGGACAAAACCGTTGTGTCTGTGACAGTCTCAACCAGCGACTGAGGCTGTGTGGCTTCTCTTGCTGACAAGTCCGTAATTTGGATTACATCCATTTGGTTTTCGAACATGCTGTTCTGAAGGTCCTCGCTGCTGATGCCATCCTCAGAGTGGCACGTGCTGCAGGCTGAGTCCTCGGCCAGCACGGCTACTTCATCACTTTTCAGTTGCTTGTTTAGCGGTGGCGCACTCTGTGCTGCTTCCTCCGATGGTGTTGGCCAGTGGCCTGTCTGAGTGTTTGTCGGATGAACCCTGTGCCTGACCTCAGCGGTCTCCCATACGGTAGCTGAGGAGCATCCATTAGTCATTCCTGGCTGTTCTTTCTCTGTTGCCTCTCGAGACTCACAGCTGATCTGAGAGGAGCTTGTCAGTAGCTGTAGGTGCTGCTGTGCAGTTGTGATTGGTTCCTGTTGGGAGCGTTGTCTGCTGCTAGCCAGTGGTGTGCTGCTGCTGCAGCTGGCCTGGCTGTTGTCTGTGACCTGGCACCTGGCAACCCCAAGAACCTCCTGGGTGGCTGCTGAGATGACCCCACATATAAGTCCAGCTGCCAGACGCTCCAGATCCTGCTCCTCTCCACTGCTGCTGTGTATCTGGATGTCCCCTGGGGTCACCGATGAGGTGATGGAGTCTTGTGCGAGGGTCAAGGCTATGGAGGTCGGATCCGTGTCTGTAGGTGTGCTCGTTAGAATATGTTGATGGAACTCCTGCGCTGATGGGGGCGTGTCTAGAGAGTCAGCTTCTGATGGGATCGCTCTCTGCACTTTGGCTGGGGTGACTGCACAAACAATGATCTCATCTTGAGTATTTATAGTGCCGTGGTGCTTTGCAACTTCTCCCTCGGGCTCAGGTCGCTCTGCGTCAGACAGGTAGGCTGCAGTGGGGGGGCAGCTGGTGACTTCATTAGACCGGCAAGGCAAGACCACCTCTTCCAACAAGGCTTCTGGAGCAGAGGCTGGATCTTTGGGCTGGTGTTTCTCCAACTCTGTTACCAAACCAAGTGATGAGCTTTTCTCTGGGTCTTTATGGTCTTTCAATGAAACCTGCAGGCTGTCGCCTTTGCCAAGTGACGGTTGCGCCGAGACACAGGCATTATGGACATCCTCTCTGATTATCCTGCCAAGAAAAGGGACCGATTCTTCAGAACCTAGCTCTGGTGAAGGTGCTGCTTTGCTGTCCAGGACATGGATTTGGGAAATGTTTTCGGGATCGCTTCTCTTGTCAGTGACCTTTGGAGGTCTGTGGGTGGGGCATTCTGTGTCATTTCTGGGGGTTACAGTGCCTTTTTCAATCAAACCATTGCTACCCTCTGCTGGAGATGTTCGAAGGCCTGTGTCAGTTGGAGCCTCCTCTGGGCTGCCATGACAGATGGGGCGCTCTTTCTTCCTCGAGATGTACCACCACCAGCCGATAAGTGCGAGTACTCCGGGAAGTGTGTAGGGTACAACAGAGCGAAACCTCAGCGGCATTTCCTCAGGACACTAGCAGCTACACCTGAAAGTTGAAAAGACAGACAAGTTAGCATGAGTTGATTGAATGCAATTTATAGCAGATCAGGCAAAACTGGCCTTGATTTAAGGATTTAACTTCATTTGACCCTTTAATTTAGTCTTTTAATGGATGATCCTCAACGATATACATCCATGTGTAACTGCTGAGGTCATGACAATGTTATGATCCAACATTGCTTCTATAACAACAGGATACTTAGCAGTGGAGAAGTCTGATCCCAATCCTAGATCTAAATATTGAGAATTGGTCAAAATAATGTCTGATCGTGTTGTATGACTTTCAAACTTTCCCTCGGTCACAGACAGAATGAAACAGACAGAGAGATAGAGGGTGCTGGACTTTTGACCTCTATGGCTGCTGGCACTGACACCTGCTCCACATAATCAACTGCTGGCCCCCTGCTGGGGAAACTTCCTGTTTCTATTATTTCAATATCAAGTAACAGAGAGAGCCTCTTTGTGTGAATGTGTAGTTCCACAACTAGGAAATGAAATCTGTGTGTCACTGTCAGGTAAAGGATATTAAATAACTACATTAATGACATGCTGTAATGGTGTGTACAACACATTTATATTACATATTTTCTACATTAAATATGCAATGTATAGGTTGAGCTCATTTCCATCAGTGACTAATGCACTAATATGAGCATTGATAAAAAAGGGTTTTGCCTGTCTCTGTCTTAGCAAGTCAACTCAACCGGTGAAAAACAAGGCACATCGAATACAAGCATACATGTGATCATTTACTAAAACAGAAATTATCGGTGGTATTTTTCAGGAAATCAATCTCATGTTATTTCGGTTAAAGCTCCTGTAATCACGGATGTTAAAAGTTTAACAGTAAAGGCTGCACAGACTTCCAAAAGTAAAAATCAGCAAGAAGCCCTTTGCCAATTCGCTCCATTGTGTGAAATAAAAATATCACAGGCATAGGTAGAGTGACTAAGTTGCTTTGGTAACTTCACGAAATACAAATGCTGCTGTTAAATGTCAAGGTGCCCCTGAATGCACAAACAGGTGGATTTTGAAAACTGTGGCTGCATGGCTTCAGGTCAAAAAAGCATTAGCACTATGTAGACATGATGTGTAAAGCAGCAATTATGTCAACAAATATCAAACTGACAGGCTTGATGGAGAAAATAAATTAAATGAGACTAATCAAAAGAACTGCAGCATACATATCAAGCAGCTCCAACAATATACCCACATCTATGAAATAAAGAGCGAGCAATACATGCACCAGGTTTTTCCTGGCTAAGAATAAGCCGACAGTTCAGTTTCCAAAGGATCAAATGACAATCCCCAATGAACTGGTGAGCTGAAAGCAACAGCCACTTGAGAATGGGTTAACTCAGAACCTCCAACATATCATTAAGGTACACGGTGTAATCACACAATTCCTAATTTATGAAAATCCATTCACATCATAACCTCTAACCACAGTTGGTTACAGCATGCCTGGCACAGTTACGAGGCAGCTTTGTGGTTTGTTGGTTAACCTGAGGTAAGTTTATGGGAATATAAAGCCCCAAATTAACAGCTTTAACACATACAACTCAGTAAATTGAGGAAGCTTTTATGTAGAGTAGACATTCAACTTATGCGCTGACATGGAGGATCTATATTATTTTTAAGGAGTTTGCTCAACAACAAATGATTTGGGCCTGAACAGGGAGTTCTCCAGAGTTTGTAAAAAATACTTTCAAGATAAAGCTAAAAATTTAATTATTGTGGTGATTAAATTGCAAAAATGTAAGTGATCAATGATTAAAAAGTCAAAGGAAATAAGTACATAGAATAATACACTTTTTAAAAATGCCACTGTGTGTGTGTACAGTAAATATAGGAACACACACACACTGATAAACAAATAAACACATACACAACATTCAGCCACATCTAACCCTGTAATGTTGTGGCTGATCTGTGTGTGTGCCTATGAAATGGTGGCCCACACTCCATTCACCTTGAACAAGGTTATAATACAAGTTACCGGCAGTCAAACAAATCCAGAGCGCTCCTTACAGGACGGACTGGTATTCCCCGGTGCTTGCCCTAACCTTACAGTCAAAAGCCTGTGACCTTGGCGGCTCAGATAGGGGAGTGGTCAGGCTGCGTTCACACGTTAGAAACTTCCAACAAGCCGAGCACAAGCCACCTAAGCAGCTTGCACGGTGGATACGGTCTAGAGTCCGTACTAACACCCTAATCACCCAATAATGACATGACCCTGGTTCACACTGCACTTCCGCTGATCCTTGTTGGTCTCCACACTTTCTCTCCTCAGATTCACTCCACTGTTCTCACTCTTATCAGCATAAAGAGGGTCAATCACAGTTTAGTGTCCCACACATGGACAAGGCAGGACACTGCTCCTCCAACATGTGAAACTCCACCGTGGTGCTGTTCAGTCGCTGTTTGCTCGTGGAGGCGTGTGGGTTTCACCAGCAGCCCGATTCTTGAAGGGCGACATTAACATTAATGTGGGAACTGCCTGCGAGTTGAATTACAGGGTGGTTACTCAACACGTCTCCTGTGTGTAACAAGAATCATCATCTCACACTGACAGGAGGACACACACACACACAAACACACAAATAAATAAATAAAAAAAGGGCTGCACCGCGTCGATGTTAGCTGTATGCTAAACCCCGAGTGACAACCAAAAGAGAAAGCACATTACTGCCGCAGGACACGTCGAGAACCAGCAGCTCCAGTGTCCAGGTTGTCCATTAGAGGACACTAATGTCCCCTCCGAGCTACGTGCTCATAAAACAACACAATGATCGTAATACATAATCCCACAGGCTCCGTGCAGCGCCGTGTCCCCTCCATGACAACATGGGCTAACCGCACCAAGCTAACCGGGTAGTGCGACAACGTGAAGCCGCTTTTTAACTTCTCACAGTTTAAATGTCTCCGGACAGGAAGGACACGGAATAAAACCAAAAAAACACAACAGGATCCCGGACGTGTCTCCAACCACACGAGCCCTCTGTGTTTGCAAGAGAGAGCGAGGAACCAAAGTGGTGTGTGACAAGTTAGCGGGCAATCAAGAGCAATTTATAGAAACAGCTTAACATGTGCCCCCTGATATCACATCGCCGAATTAATCAGGGCACTCACAATGTCCACGGGAGACCTCGGGACGAGCGATTCAAACCCCGGAACAATCTGCCGCGAGCACGGTCAAGCGTTAAATAGCAAATATCAACAGGGAGTCTGGTGTGATTCTGTCTGGAGGCTGTGACCTGGAATAAAGCATGGCTGGTGGGGAGGCCGCAGTGCAGGATAGCAGTCAAGTTAGCCGGCTAACCAGCACCCTGGTTAGAAATCCTAAAAATAAAAAAACAGACACGTCTGCGATGGTAAACACGTATTAAACCGCCAGGGCAGCTCACTGCACGGTGCTCCCCTCGCTGCGTTATGTTTTTTGTTTGGCCCGGTGACCATGAGCGGTTCCACGGTTAAAAGCCTCGTGTTTGACTCGACCTCGGGACTTCCAGTCACCACGCTGGGCTCGGCGCTGGGCCGCCACACGCAGCCGTTGCATAACGCAGCTTTAGCCGCAACCCCTAACGCAACACCGAGGGTGAAGTGTCACACTGGCGCAGGGGGGTTAAAGGACATTTTGAGCCGGGGAGCGCTCCTCTGCCCTGCCTGGGCCTCAGACCTCCGGAGTTAGCCCGCTAGCCGGCCTGGGGGGGGGGGACGGGGGGACGAACGAGAGCCAGGGGACGTTATCCCCAGACGCGATTGTCAGTGCTCGGGCCGACACGATCGTGTAGTTCAGTCCGAGCACAGAGGGAGGGAATCGGGGTGATCTCACTTACACAACAGGGGACGGAGGCTAGCAGGAGCTGGCTGCGAACTCCCAGAGATGTGTAGGCTAGTCGTTCAATGACATGGGATTACTGCGCCCCTCCAGCGGCACTGCTCACCCCACACACCTCGCAGAGACCCCCTCACCCTCACCCTCACCCTCAACCCCCGTGGACGATGTCAGTTCAGCGGTGTTTTCTCACGATGTGCGCGTGTGGCTCCTCGGTGCGTGGATGTGAACTAAGTCGCACGGTGTGAACATGATGCGGATGCTACTGACTTAGCATGCTCCTCCACCTTAGCCGCTAAACGCGCCCCGCTCCGCTCCTCTCCTCTCCGCAGTGTTGGGGTTTACTCACAGTATTCTCGGTTCCTCGGCGCCGCCACGGTGAGAGCTCTACTGATTAGTGTGTCTCTTTCTAACGTGTCCTCCTGGAAAGTCAGTCTCTCCTCCCCACGTGTTGACCGACTAGCATCATTCTAAAAAAAAAAACACACACTCAACAGCTGGTGAGATCTCGCGAGACCCACGCGCTCGGCTCGTGCGTGGTCTCGCGTTAACTGAGAATGCAGTAGAGTGGAAGGCTCCTGTGTCACACACACACACACACACACACACGTATTTACACGAGTGTGGTGTTAGCTCAGGATGTGATGTCCGAATAAACAACCTTTTTGAATTCACCGTCTGTGATGAGGCATCCTGCTGACCTCACCGTGTCCTCAAAGCTGAACCGTGTTTGCGTCAGATTCACGTGAATCGTGCAGAAACAGCACAAGGTCAAATGTGCAGGGTGATAAATGTCAGAATCAGAATCAGAATCAGAATTCTTTTATTTGCCAAGTATGTTTGCACATACAGGAAATTGCCTTGGTGTCATTGGTGCACTACTTATGTACATAAAACAACAATATAAAAAACAACAATATGTAAGAAATTGAATAAAATAAAATAGAATAAAATAAAATAAAATAAAATAAAGAATATACATATATACATTAACAGATTCACAGGGTTATGGGCACGTGCTGTGCGAAGGTGCAGAGATTGGTGATAGTGCCAGTAGTATATAAGTAATAAATTATAAATTATGTGCAGGTGGTGGGGTGTGGTGGGGTAGAGTCAGTGCGGTGCAGAGTCAGTGTGATGCAGGGGGCTTGTTTGTGAGCCCCACTGCCACGGGGAAAAAACTGTTCAGATGGCGAGAGGTTTTAGTCCTGATGGCCCGAAACCTTTTACCGGAGGGAAGTCTCTGGAACAGGTGGTGACCGGGATGTGAAGGATCAGCAATGATCTTGCCTGCTCTCCTACTGGTCCTGGAGTGGAACAGGTCTAGGAGGGCCGGCAGGTCACAGCCGATGACCTTCTCAGCTGACCTTATGATCCGCTGCAGTCTGCCCTTGTCCTTGGCAGTGGAGGCAGCGAACCAGACGGTGATTGATGAGGTGAGGATGGACTCAATGATGGCTGTGTAGAATTCAACCATCACTTTCTGCGGCATGTTGAATTTCCTCAGTTGCCGCAGGAAGAACATCCTCTGCTGGGCCTTCTTGGTGACGGAGGTGATGTTCTCCGCCCACCTCAAGTCCTGTGCAATGATGGTCCCCAGGAATCTGAAGGACTCCACTGTTTTAACTGGGGAGTTGCACAGGCTGAGGGGGGCAGTTTGGGCTGGGCTCCTCCTGAAGTCTACTACCATCTCTACAGTTTTCAAAGCGTTCAGCTCCAGGTGGTTCTGGCTGCACCAGGAAGCCAGGCTGTTAACTTCCTCTCTGTAGGCGGCTTCGTCCCCATTGGTGATTAATCCGATGAGGGTCGTGTCGTCTGCAAACTTCAGGAGTTTGACAGAGGGATGGCTGGAGGTGCAGTTGTTGGTGTAGAGGGAGAACAGTAGAGGGGAGAGCACACAACCTTGTGGGGCTCCAGTGCTGATGGTCCGGGACTCAGAGACAAGCTTGCCCAGCCTCACGCGCTGCTTCCTGTCAGTCAGGAAGTTAGAGATCCACCTACAGGTGGGCTCAGGCACGCTCAGCTGTGTCAGCTTGTCACGGAGAAGAGCTGGGGCGATGGTGTTGAATGCGGAGCTGAAGTCCACAAACAGGATCCTGGCGTAGGTGCTGGGGGAGTCGAGGTGCTGGAGGATGAAGTGGAGTCCCATGTTGACTGCGTCGTCTACGGACCTGTTGGCTCTGTAGGCAAACTGCAGTGGGTCGAGGAGGTGGTTGGTTATTGTCTTGAGGTGGGTCAGCACGAGGCGCTCAAAGGTCTTCATTACTACAGAGGTCAGGGCGACAGGTCTGTAGTCATTAAGGCCTGTGATCCTCTGCTTCTTGGGAACGGGGATGATGGTGGATGTTTTHAGACAGGCGGGTACAGCACATTCAGCCAGTGAGGTGTTAAAAATGTTCGTGAACACTGGCGAAAGCTGGTCTGCACAGTGCCTCAGTGTGGAGGGGGAGACAGCGTCGGGTCCAGGTGCCTTGCGGGGGTCTCAATCATCACCTCACAACAACAAAAAAACGACAGGAGAAAAGACTATTTAAAGTTTACACCAGATCGTTTCACACTTGCTGTGCAACCAGACCAAAATTAAAAAGAATATTTATTTTATTTATAAAATTCAGTTCAATTTCATACATATGAAGCACCGTATCACAACACGGTTCTTGTTAAGGCAAAAGTACCTTCACGTCTAATTAAACCCTATAGGAAAAATGTATGTAAAAGACAACGTAGTCTGAATCACATTAAAAAATACTCTAACTAACATGTATTTGCTCTTGGATCAAAGATGATTCATACTTTATTTATACACTAGACCAGTTTCAGTTTCAGTTTCCCTCTCCTTTCTCTGGAAAGCTCAAATCTTGACCAAGGAAATGTTAAGTTTTAACCCTTTTGCAAAAGGATTTGATAATGAAAGTAGATCCAGACAAACCAAAAAGCAGTAGTACAAGAGAAAGAATCAAACAATGCCAGCTGGTGCCAAAACAAGTTTATTAGTAACAGTGAAAAAAAAACGTTTGCACACAAACACCAGTGTGCTTGCTGGTGTGTTGTGGTGAGAGAGGAGAAGCTAAAAAAAAGATTAGTAATAGTGTTAAAGGGTTAAACGCTTTCATGTCATACTTATTCAAAGAAACACATGTTCACAATACTCAGCCTTCTTGGAGTCTCTGGATTGGTCACAGACAGATTTCAGATGGGATGTGTTTGGGAGGAACAGTCGGCCATATTTGAACCTGAGTGGAGCTTTGTTTTCGGACTTCACAATGAGTCGTCCATAATATGTTCAAGTGGTTTATTAGTGTATGTGGTGTCAACCCAAGTGACTGACCAATGGATTATGCCCTTTCATAAAAGAGGTGGAAGTCAGAGGAAGCCCTCATTCATATCCCACTGAGGTAGCAGTGGTAAGGCACCTGGGTTCGATGAGATTTGACCTGAGATGCTGAAGGGTCTGAACACTGAACCTGATGGTAGTGAGCTATACGGAGTTAGCTTTGTGTGGTGGCTCAAACTGGACCTGCTTTCAGACATGCACTGGAGTGTGGACATCTTCCTGAAACTTTGAGCCCATATGAGGATACGGCAGGAAAACTTCTGAAAAAAATCACAGCGAGCAAATGGTTGTGTTTCCATCATGTGATGCTAAACAAAAATAATACAAATATTTCTGAATTAACAAGATGAGCCTAGAAGACGCCAAGTTCAAGAGACAACGATGCTCAAATTCTAACAGGTTGCAGGGATAGCAAGAGACTTTATACATTATGTCCTGCCTCCTGCATGGTCTGCCTCTCGTCTGCATGTTTCGAATAGGTTCCTGTTGTTGTGAACCCATCTTACCCTGACAATCTGCTGCTGCATTCTACATACGTGACATTGGTGAGACAGTGCAGCGCTCAGATATCTAGATGGAGCTCTGGGTGGAATCACAGCTCTTTCATAGAGCCAGTTAAGGTGGTGTTTGGTTTGTTGACATCTGATTCCACCCAGATGCTGATATGTGGATATGTTTTATGGGAATGTCTGAGTGAGAGGAGACGACAAAATGTTTTCACATAACAGTGATAAACTGAATTCACTGGGTAAGTTCTTATAGAGATACCTTCATACGACACATCACACACACACACACATTTGTACCTCTATCTTGGTGATGACATACACATTCCCTCGCCCCTTACCCTAACCTTAAACATCCAAACTAAAAGCCTAACCCTTAATTAGCCCATTGAAAAAGTGTTACTCGAATAAAACATGAAACTTCAGTTAGCACCAAACATTACAGTATGAGCATGCTGTGTCCGTGTGACATTACTGGCTGTAGTGAGGATACAAAAGAACAGTTATTAAAGTAAGTAATTCACCTATTTTTGCTTAAAAACATTGATATTGCATAAACATATAATACTTAAGAATATACAGCGCAGTATAAAATCATTTAGGCTGAACAATTTTATTCCAACTATGATCTGTAAGATTTTAGATTGTTTTATAGGAGGAGTATAAAAACACCAAATATTGGTAGGCAATCATAACAGAGCTTAATTTACAACTATCAAAATGTTAAAATAAACAATCTAGCTCAAATGATTACATTGCTACACAGGAATTAAATGCTTCAGGACTCCATATTCAATCATAAGACCTATCATAAGAAATAAAAACTAACTCAAACATACTGTCTCATCCAGTGTGCAGATATAATGACACCATGATTAAGATGGAAACTTGTAATTCATTTTCACTCATTCAGGCACAACACATGCGACTTGTTCCCCAGTGCGTCCTCAGGTTGTATGTAGGAATGTAAACACTGTATTTGCACGTTTGCTTAAATGTGAAAACATTTCTGTCTTGCAGGAATATGAAATGTATGTACAGTATGAGGCGGCAGTATCGTCACCTCCTCGTGACTGGTCTACCTTTGTGTGCAGAAGTTAAGTTCTGATGTCTGAGGTCAAACAGGAATATGTTATACACCATCAGACAGAATTTATGTCCTGTCCCGTTAGCAGCAATGTGTAAAATGAAATGAAATTCCCACATGACAGAGGTTGTTTTTCTGTGCATAGAAAAAGATCAGGTCTGCAACGACATCAGGGAGAGCCTCTAGATATAAAAAAACTATCGCTCCGACTTGATCTTGTAGCGGAGGACAACGTAGGTGGCCAGTCGTAGGATGATGAAGAAAATGCCTAGGACGATGAAATCTATGTAGAGCTTTGCGTCTTCCACATCCAGTAACTGCAGAACCTCCTCAGGCTGTTGGAATTTACACACCTTTCCGGGACACTCCAGTTCTGAGCGGTTCATCCCATAGATAGACAGGATCACTCCTTCAAACCCATACCTGTGGGTATGAGATACAACCATTGAAGCAAATCAGACGATCATCAAAAATCAGGTTAAAAACAAAAAGACTGTCCTTAGCATGGCAAGAAGAGTAGTCCACGAGGTCAGTAAAATCAGTGGGGTTAATTCTCTTGGGAGCAGAGACAGTTCAGTAAATTTTAAGGCTATCTTGTTATTAGGTTAGAAATTTGTGTCTTCACGTGTCTTAAAGAGAGGCTATCAAGTGTCTACAGTTGCAGACTGCTCATCATATGGATACCATGAACTTGTCTGACAATTGGACTGCTTGTCCAGATGGATCAAGAAAAGGTCATATTCAGATAAATCCTCTAGGGATCATGAATAGCCACGGAAAAATTAATTAGAAATTCATGAACTATCTCCAGACATAGCTTTTATGGACTGCAATCTTTCAATTATAATTTAGTCATTAATTATTAGGTTATCTTTTATTTCACACTGCAGCCGCATATGTAAACCAAATATTTACCGTTTGTTATAGTTGTGATTGTGAATTAAATTGAATTGAGTTACCCACCTGACATAAGACACATATGAGCTCCACTGCAGATACTTGGGGATTGTGTCAAAGTTCACAAAGAATCCGGAGAAAAGCAGCACTGGGATGGCTGTGACAGGTCCAACAAATGTGGCTACCTGGATGTAGAGAGCATAATCTGTTTTAGATGTGTATCGTATGCCAAGAAAACCCATATGTTGCAATGCAAACCAGCAGTACCTGTAGTGAGTTGGAAGCGGCCCCAACAAGCAGGCCGAGGGATTGGGCTACCAGGGCCGTGCAGGTGGACAGGGCTATGAAGAGTAGGTAGCGGCTGGCCTCAGGGGGCTGTTCCGTCATCCAGTACACTATGCTGCAGTACATGATGGGGCAGATAACCTAAAATAACACTTTGATTAGTCTTTTATCGAGTGAAAGAATAGTTTATGTCATAATCGTCATTTACCCATATACCCTTTGTACACAAAAAATAGCACAGGTTTTAAACACAAGTGAACCCACTGACTCCTGGCACATTGCCAGTAGATGAGTTTGTATTCAATTTACTCTCATGTGGCCAAGCTCAATTCAATTACAGTTTGATCACCAAGACTTAGTTTACCATCAGGTGTGAATGTGATCAGAGATCAAATATTGCAGAAATGCTATTGGAACAACAGATATACCTTCAGCAAACACTAGAGTGCAGTGGTGAACTATGAAGTTGTATTTTGCTGTGTGTGGTTGGGCAGAATATGAGCCAGCCCGACCCTCCAACCCCAACACTGCTAGCTCACCTGAAATGGGATATCAGCCATGGTCTTGGCAAGGTAGTAGGCTTTCAGGCTGTACCAGTAGTTAAGATGCTCCCTCAGGAACACAGACATCTCCAGAGGAACTGACAAATGGTGTATTCAAACATTTACATTCATCTGTTAATAACTCAACATTTGAGATTTTGAAAGTCAACCGATTTCCAAAAGGCATAAAGTTAAGCATCTCACATTTATTTTCTGTTTTCATCTATTACATTAATACATTACATAACAAAAGACGTTTTCGGCACCTTGCATGGTCAGTACTTTTTACAAACAGCTTTTTGTAGCAGTAAAGATTTTTTCAATTCTTGTGTTCGGAATTTTCTCACATCCATCCTTGCTCAAGATTCTGGGGCTGATTTGCATGCAATGCTTCTTTGAGGTCAATCAGGACAACTGTGGCTCAGGAGGTAGAGCATAGAAGCGTTGTATGAATGTGTGACTGTGACTTGTACTGTGAAGAACTTTGATTGGTTGATAACACTAGAAAAGTGCTTTATAAATACAGTCCATCATTTTATGAAGCATCATTTTTGATGATGTTTAGATTGAGGGGTTGTGTGGGTCACGGCAAAACCCTTATCTTGTTCTTCTCGAAGTTGTCCATTGTGGATTTTGACTTATATTTAATATCATTATCCTGTTGAAGAAGCAATAATTTTGGTTAAAGTTGGTTTGATGTTTACTTCTAGAATTTTCTGTTATTTACTTGAATCCGTTCTTCCCTCTGCCAATGTATGTAATGTTGCTAAGACTGACTGAAGAGTAAGAGAGGTGTTCTTAATTCATGACAGAATTGTCAGTCCACACAACGTTCTTTAATTCCAAAACACAGAGTCCTTTAATGACTCTTAAGCACAGGTCATATTTGTGCAGATTGATCAGTGCACTTTCCCTGCAGAGTCTACTAAATCTTCCTGAAGTTATTTTTCAGTCTGGAAGTTGATTACTTTGCCTGTCTAGCAATCAGCAGTCCTGCTTGGTCTTCCAGACCTCAACTTGACCTCAGCCATAACTATCAACTACCATTTCTTAATTACTTTACGATTTAAGGAAACAGCTATCTGGAAACACCTTGCTATCTTCCCTTCCCCTGCCTTGCACATCAGTTATTTTAACGTTCAGGGTTTCAGTAGCTGCTTGGAGGAGCCCATGGCTGCATATTGTAGGAGCAAGGTTTGAGGAGTCAGAATAATGATAAAGCATCACTTGGCCTTTCATCCCAATTACTGTGGACAAACCACAGCCCTAAAAAAGGTCTGAGACCTTGTTAAATGTTGGGATGTCCAAACTTTTGTTTGTTACTTATTTGTTTAACTCTGACATTGTACTGAACAATGCAATACACCATTCTTTCTTAATATGTTGAAAATCATATCTCACTTTTAATTTTATGCCCATTGGAGATCAGTTCATTTTCTACTCATTCAACTAAAACACAGTAACTTAAAATCTGACCAGGGGTACCATCGTGCCACTGTAAATAGGAATCAGTTCCCACCTGGATCATACTCACAAGTTAACACGGTCGGCATGAGCGCACCAAACATGAGGAAAAGCATGGAGAAGAAGAGGAACCCAGTGTTGTTAAAGACCTTACTGGCATCATTGCCAATGTTCAGATAGAGCAAGCCTATTAACACACCTATGGCGATGTGGGACATCAGTCTGAGGTGGGTCAAAACCTGGCAACAGATCAAATGTAGAGTCAAATAGATAACAATCACAGACATTTACACATTTTGAACTAGTAAACATGCACATTTGTGCAATATTTCTTAAAGATCTACCTGGTCTCGACATATTGTTATGAGGGTTCTCTTGAAGAGGATACAGAACTGTGTTAGTGTGCTTGTTGAAAAAGTATGGCTCTCTATGTGTCCAGCATTCTGTGGAATATAGAAACAGGTCATATTATAACAGTGATTATATCACACTTCATGAAAAGGTTGTACACCACAACATGCAGAAATGAATGCTTTGTTTGTGCATATCACCAAACAATTTAGCAATTTATTGATTCACCACCACATAGTTGGCATACAAGGAAACTGTGGGGCCAATGAAGGTCAGAGGCTCTAGGATATCATCAAACACTTGGAGAATGAGTGGAGAGGAGCGCTCTCTCGCTCCGTGTGCATCTGGCCGGGCATTGCGCTCCGTGGCTCGGTGGGCCAGTCAAGATAGACATATGATATTTTATCGCGGTCTGGAGTTTGACATGTCTGTCTTAGGTGATAATTCAACCTTGACTGCAGTTTAACAGCACATAATCTACTACGCACCATAGGGTACTTTGTGGCACAGACCGACGTCCCATTGGTACCACACTGGTTCTTCTTCTCCTCTAGTGCACACATTCCACCTTGGACCGCCTCAAACAACGCAGGGTTCAAGTCTCCATACTCTCCTGATGCAATTTCAATAACTGAAGCAGAGAGAAAAGCAGAAGGGAATTAACAGAATGAATGATATGAAATGTTTCCAATCATCCTCAGCAAATACATGAATAAATGTGGAGTGAACATACTGAAGTCTGCAGGATTGTGGTAGGTGGGACAGTAAAGGCCCAGACTCTTCAAATAGGGGATGAGGTAAGGGACTGAGCCTTTGTAGATACACTGCCCCTGACTGAGAATGTAAAGCTGTGAAAGGACAAGATTGTTTAATGCAAAAGGTTTATGATCGACAGAAACTGTGACTTTTCTTTAAACAGAGAAAGCCTGTGCAAATTATTACCACAGCTTCTCAGATGACAAATAGCATCTGAATGTTAGAAAAACGGTACTTCATTTCAAGCCTTTATTGTCCTAGACATACCTTGTCAAACATCTCAAACAGTTTGGCACTGGGTTGGTGGATGGTGCAGATGATGGTCCGTCCTCCCAGCGCCAGAGAACGCATTAGTGAGACCACCTGGTAGCAAGATGCACTGTCTAAGCCACTGAAGAGAGGGAGACATGCAAGCAGAAGTGACACCTTTAATGAGCAGCTGGCAAGTAATTTAAAAAGCCTGAGCTATTGTGAGAAATTGTTTTCATGTTTAGTTCAAGGGTACCAAATCTGTGAGTCAGAATTTAATAGAATTACAGAATCTTTTTTTATTAAATGAAAACAATTTTTAACCAAACTGTCGAGTTTAATTGTGGGTTACGTGTGTGCCAGATTTTGACGAGGAAAACATTCTAAAAATGATTTTATTTTCCTGTCAGGGGGCAAAACTGGAAACTCTTTTTGAAGAACATTATAATGTCACAATCAAATTGAATTTTGAACTTTAAATATAAAATGCAGTCAATGACCTTGACCCATGACCTTTAAAATCGAATCACTTCATCCTTGAGTTCATGTAAATGTGTTTCCTACATTTGTAGGGGGCTCCTTCAAGTTCTGGGGAGGGTCTCATCTGTCAATCATAATGTTTCCCCCTGTTTGCAAAGCATCAAATAACTAATCAAAACTTTCCTGAAAAATTAGCACTTGAACTTACATTAGAATGATAAGAACTACCTAAAATAATTGAATCCATCTTTACCAGAATAATTTATTTCATGTGTACTTTGACGTTTTAGTTAACATGAAGGAAGCTGGATTTATTCTGCAGCCAGCCACCAGTTGGCAATCGAAATAAGTCGGATAAACAGTAAACCTATTCTGGTCGACCCCCAAATTCATACTATGAACCTGCTAATGGCCAACATGTGGACACTTTTAAAATCTTCTGCATTTTCAATGATACATTTCAACTTGTGTAAAGAACATCTTACAAAGATAAATGTAATAAGTCCTAAGTAGTTTTGAAATCTGAATTGAACCCACATCTACACACTAGTGTCTGTCTCACCTTGTGGGTTCATCGAAGAACATGACTGGAGGATTGTTGACCAGCTCAAGGGCAATGGCCAGCCGTTTACACTGTCCTCCTGACAGCGAGCTGGTGCGAGTGTGAGCACAGTCGAGGAGCCCTAAGGCAGTTAGAATCTCATTCACCTGAACAGGGAGAGTAGAAAAAGTCACAGAATGGAAAAAAACAAACACTGGCTCTAGAGAGGGCCTTTCCCGTTTTCTTCATGTGTAAACAATATAATCAAACAAGTATACAGATAACTCTTCCCTACCCCACCCATATATACGGGTGAATGCTTCACTTCACTATCATCCATTGTAACCAGCAGCAGTTTAACACCTGAAATGAAATATTTACATATTTATGGCTGCCTGACTGCAGAGGAAGGTAAAAAACTTCATGGATGTGTTGATGATCCACTGGGCCACCAAGAGCAGAGATTTCTCATGATGCTGCTGATGGTTAGTCCGACTGTGACAGACCGATTGTACACAGCTCTACAATGAAGCTGCAGCTCATCAACACTGAGTGATGTTAAGAGGGAAAAAAACTTTGGATCAATTGTGGTGGAAGAAATCAGATGATGGTGGAGGTAATTAATCTGACACACTGTCTGGACCTGTTGTATTGATATTTACTCATGTGTCACAGAAACTCATTCATTCTCATTAGAACATTTCTACCTTGTCGGCTAACGGTTAATGGTCAGTTGAAGAGTGCTGGCTCAATCTAAATGTACTCAAAATGGCCGTAGAGGTTGAGCCCGACAAATGTTTTTACCACTTCAGCTCTTGATTGATAGATTTGTTTTGGACCGAAAACTCTTTTTTGATATTCAAAGAGCAGTGACAGATGTTTGACAAAGGGAGGTGTGGGCGTTCATGCGTTTGGTGTTTTTCATGATTTACTGTTCAAAGGGAAGATTTATTGTTAACAATTCTTTTGTCCATGTCTGTGAAGTGAGGAGAAGTGATTTGTTTAGCTCACCAGTGCTTTTTTCACATCTTTGGTTTCATCCAGCTTCAAATTGGCTGAAACCTGCAATAAAGAGAATAACATTCACAATTATGTAACGCAGCATGAATTTACAGTAAATCACGAGCCGTAGGTTTCGGTCTTAAGACTCAACCGACTCCTGCAGCACCTCAGCACACTAAAGATCATCCGAGTTCAGAAAGAATAATATTATTGCTTTGGGCCTGTCAGTATCAGCTCACCATCATGGCCTCCCGTGCAGTGAGATGTGGCAGCAGCATGTCCTCTTGCATGATGTAGCAGGACATTTTCCTGAATGTCCTCAGATCCCTGGGCTTACCATTGACCAGGATCTGACCCTTCATCCCCGTTTCTCTGGTTAACGGGAAGGACAAATATTGAAGTTGGCTTGGTGAATGGACTGAAGGCTGGACTTCCTGGGCTTGTTGTGTAAAAACCTGATGTTTTTCCAAGGAAGCCTCATGATAAAAAAAATCTTCTGTATCGTTAACCTGCTTTTGGCTGTTTGCAGCAGAAATGTGCACTTGTCTCAAATAAAGACAGGATTACTTTTCTTTTACAATAGCTGCATAAGGGAATTTTTGCTCTCTCACCTGTATCCAGCTAAAATGTTCATCAAGGTGGACTTCCCGGCCCCTGAGGGCCCCATGATACCGATCAGCTCCCGACTGCAGAACCTTCCAGATAGGCACTTCAGTAGGGCTTTGTAACCTAACAACAAAAGAGAGGACGCAACAACTATGATTCAGACAAATAGAGAAAAGTCGGTCCTAGTAGCATGGTATAAGACATACAACAAAAAGAAGGAGGTTATTGTCAACCTCTTGACCTGCTTACTAACAACTGCTGAACATCAAAACACTGTCATGGACATAATGAGCGGCACAACGTTTCCTGGGAGTTCAGAGCACAGACAACCTCTCCTGGACGTCACTCATGACATCACTTCACAAGAAAGCACAGCACTGTCTGGTGACCTTTCCAGTGTGTACCGCTGGGCTCCAGCTCCCCCTCAAAGGATAAGCTGTATATATATTGGATGGATGGACGAGTATATGCATGCTTCATTCTGCACTGAGGAAGCATGCGAAATCCAGACTAGTGTTTTTTTCTTCTGTGTGACTCCACCATGCTTTGACCATGAGGATTATTGGTGCTCGGTGTAAGGGTTTGTAGAGAATCAGCCCTTTTATGAGACAGAAAGTTCCCATATTATGGTGGATTCTCCTTTACTGAAAAACTGCAATGTCACCAACTATCTTGTTATAAATCTAAAAGCTCTTCACTGTACATGCGTGGAGGACATGCTATGTGTGCATCAGAAAATGCAGTGACAGAAGCATTTCTTCAATGCAACAGGTTAAACTTGTTGATCTACATTGACCAAACACACACAATAGCAGCACACTACATTTTTCATCTCTATGACAGAGAAATAAATCATATTTCATCGATATTATCTTATCTCCATTGGCTCCATTGGGAATCAAAATCTTATTTGAAAATACACCTATGACTACTGCAACAAAAGTCAGTTCACCTGTGATGACTGCAACAACAAACTTTTATTTCCAGTTACCCAACTCCGTGTAAAGACTGTAACTCCTGATGAATCACTCGGGTCTGTCAGTTCCTTTTCATTCCAAACCACATAGAGTGCAGAACAAACAATAACACAAGATTCCATATAAATGTTTCAATAATATAACCTCGCATTTGGTTAGTCTTTCATGGATTTGTTTAAATATTAACATTTTGTTTTCCATCGTTAGATAAATATGAAAACTATGCTCATCAGGTTTGTGGATGCATTAATGTTATAAGTGAGAAAAATGATGAACTTGTTTACTTTATTCATTTGATCTTTTGTTATATCAAAGCACTGTGATGTAATATTTTATCCGTCCAAGTCATTCACCCTGACCCTTGACTGCTATAAACAAACTGCCTTTTTAGATCCTTGGCTGCATTGTGTACCTCACTCCTGTCATTCTTTTAATAACACTTAATTTAACTACGTGTAGTGCCTTTAGATAATGAATGTTGTTATTTGGTGTTATAAAAATAAGGTTGAAATGAAATTAAGTAGATAGACACCAAATATAGCCGAATCTAACCCAGAGGTGGTTTAGGTACTTTAGTGTTTATATAGCTGCTTCCAAACATGAACTGAACTCCGGATAATCTCTGGGCACTCTCCAGAGGAAGATGTAAGAAAGACTTTCTCTGGAGAATCTCCAGTCAGCCCCCAAGTAAAAACTTTGGAGAATGTTTGAATGATCCGATGTGAGAACAGAGCAGGAGATCCTACAGAGGATTCACCGCGAGTGAGTGAGTGTGTTGATGAGGTTTGTGACAAGCAACAGACACAAAGATGAATGCAGAATGTGTGTCCGTCTGCGGCTTTTGTTACTGCGATGTCGTCAAAACTGTACAAGAGGGGGAGTTCATCGCTCACCTCGCCGGTCGCCTGGTAAGGCAACACCTCACCACTGAAGAGACGCATGTTGATTATTATGATAGTTTTTATTATATACTATATTATACTATTTATTAAGGGGTATATTCAGGATATTTTTTTGTTTGTTTTGGTACATCTCTTCCTGCTCTGTATTCCGCAATTCAGACCACAGCTCGTCCAAGCCAATTAAACATTGACATGTACCATGGACTCATGTAGTCATGTGCACACACCCACACACCCTATTTCATCTCTACTGCAGTAACCATTATTTCATCACTACGTTATCATTCACATCACTGTACCCGCATTATATTATGTCTGTATGTCTTTTCGTTATGTACATATATCTGTGTATCTTATCTATCTTGTATGCCACTTTTTGTTTTCACCATTTCACAAATAAAAAAAATAATAGAGTAAAAAATGAAGGTAGTGTTTGAAGAAAGGTGTGGGCTGAGTGAGATAGACATGACAGTAGATGTGTGATACCTCTCCTCCTCCAGCATGGTCCCTCTTGGATGGTGTAGGAGAGGTCAGTGAACTCCAGGTCCACAGCTGAGCGTTTGGGGAGGTGGGAGAAACGTTGTGCTTCAGTGATATCGTTCTCAACCTTCTTCAGGTGGGTCAACATGGATGGCTCCTGCTGCTGCTGAGGTTGAAGCTGGGCCAGAGGTTGTCCATCTCTGTTACACGCAACAGCCTCTTCCATTGTGATACTCACAGAATCTGGTTCCAATGCCTTATTGTCCATACCTGCGCTCTGTGCAAAGAAGGGTAAGGGAAGAGTGCCAGAAAAGAGAAAGGTAGAGGAGGTACAAAGAGAACTATTAAAGGAAGAAGGGAGGTCAGTCATGTTTAATAAACTGTTGGAAAATTACATTTTACAGCTGCAGCTGGGGATTACTGCAACAATCAACCAGGTGGAATCCTGGAATCTAGTTTTAAGAAAAGCATAAACTATTATAATTCCAGTTTGTCAGACTTTTGGTTGTATGACCAACACTCAACCTTTGCTGGAGGATTCTATGTTGGCATGCTGTAAGCAAGGTAAAAACAGTAGAAACAAAGTTAACATCATACCTGTTAAACACCAACATGTTAGCATTGTCATATGAGCATAGTTAGGTGTTAGCATTAATTGAAAATATAGCTATAATTATGAAGCCACAATGGCTACATGCAACCGAACTAGCATGCAAACCATAGAATCAACTGTATTTAGGTGGTGGCTTAACTTGAGAAACCTATGCAAGAAGTACAGTTATGTTCTTATACTACTGTAAAAGGTATTAAGAATAAAGAGATACAGTAAAAGCAGTGCATGGGTGTACAAAGCATTAACCAGTGAAGACCAGAGGCTGAATATCTCCAACGTTATGTCAGGATTGACTATTCTGACTTAAACATTGAACATATTTAAGTTAAAGTTTATTTTTTCCACTTTAGTTGCCAGGATATGATGTGAAATATAAAAGACGATCCAATAAATTAGATTGATATTAAATATATTTTGGATTCAGGCAGAATATTTGCAATTTATAGGGAATATTTACCTCTAACAAGGCGGTTATGTTTTCATTGTCATTTGTCTGACAGGATTAAACAAAAACCACCGATCCGATTTTCATGAATCTTGTTGGAGTATAGAATAAGAAAGAACGCATTAATGTTAATCACATCTGATTAGTCTGTGGATCCAGGATTTTCTTTTTCTTTGACCTTGTGATAGAGGGCATTAGCCTTCTAGTTCAGAGCTGTGTTTAAGAAACACAGTGATTAGCTAAATGTTTTACCCATTTGCAATTTTTCTTTGAGCTGTTTTCCTAATTTCCACTATTGTGTAGTAATAAAAAGACAAATTCCTTAAAACAGTTGGATGGAAAACCACCTACTGAGTCAGTTTGAAGATTTGATCTTAAAGATCTCGAGAAAATGTACAAGTCACCAAACACATCATTAGAAGCCTCTTTGGAGATTTATATATGTTTCCTGGGAAAAGATAGCTTAGGTATGACCACCGTCAGACAAAATCCATGACCATTGTCCCGGCAGGACTCTAAGCGGCAGAAATATGCAATCCTCCCTGTGATCGCGGGGTGATTAATGATCACTGAAATGGAGATACGTTTAATCTACTTTGTTCTGCGCTGACCACTGTAAAAATGGTTCCCAAGTCTGAGGTGGTACAGTAATTTGTCCTTTTTGAGACAGCAGTCTCATTTAATCACTCATGGGGTTCATAATCTCCTTGGGGATTAAAATCAACTTTCTTTTCTACCCTTGATCTGCTCAGAGCAGGAGGGGGCTAGAGTTTCCAGTTTGGGAAAAAAAAACTCTGCAGACTCAGGTACACTACCAAGGACGAAGCCAAGCTAATGTATGGGAAATGCCTGCTCCGTCACTCGCCTTTCAGATCACGCATCCATGCATCCATTGAGTGAGAAGCGAGAGAAAAAGTCTTTTGAGGATGTCTAAGTGTGCTGCTGAGAAAGAGGAGGGAAAAAGAAGAGACATGCTATGTCTGCCAAAATGTCACGAGTCAACTGCTGTGTTCTGGAGGAGAAGGGAGGTCCATGGGGGAGGTAGAGAACTCAGTGACCTGGGATCATACCACTTCAGATTATCTACAGTGCCACTGTTAAACTTGTATCTGACTTTAAGACTTGATGCCCCAAATACAGCTTGATTAAAGACTCATTAGACTCAAATAAAGTGCTCAGATACATGCAGCTTAATGGAGACATCAAAGTGATGTCATGTCACTCGTCTGATTCAACAAGAGGGAACAAAAGTCTCCTCTGAAGATCTTGTGTACCATCGATCTTCACCTTGCTGTAGTTCTTTTCCTCTGTCTACCCCTACCTTCTTGTATGTAGAGAAGGTCTGAGAACTACGTCAACATTGAATTATCTGTCAGCAAAAAATATCACACTGTAGAGATCCATCCATCCAAATATAACGCTCATGCCTTGAAGATCACAGGGGGAGCTGGAGCCAATCCCAGATGACGATGGGTCGAAAGGCTGGGTTCACTCTGGACAGGTCGACCCTTCAGGACTTCAGACTAGGATTATCATCTCAGTGTGTATGTAGCAGCTATGAGACAATGATATGATGTTTCTTCACAAAGTGACATATGTGCAGCTCAAGTAACCAGAGGGTTCACTTTCATGAACTGTCCGTACTCGCAGTCACTTTGCCTGTTGCCATGATTCAGATGTAAGTAAAAATTCCCTTGTTGTCATTATCAGGTGTTTAAAGAGATAATTCACTCATTGGTCATTTACACCATGTTTTAATGGACTGTGGTCAGACTGATCCCATTGTGCTTCATTTCAAAAGACAAATAACAGTCTGATAATCAGGTGACTTAACTACAGACGTACAGGGCCTGGTAAGGACTGAAGTTTTTATCCAGGGCGAGATGAGTGGTTCATCCCCCACCATGGTGTCCATGACTCGTCCAAGTACACTGCTTAGAAAGTTATAGGAGTGGACAAAGGTTAACTTGCTCTCCATGGTGGCCAGGTAGTGATGTCTCTAAGGTCCTCATGGAGAATAGGGTGGCAACACAAGTGTCTGCTTCTCGTTGTGCAGCTAGAACAGCTTCAGTGCACCTGCACCTTGTTTTTTTTGATGATAGTGGTAGAGAGTGCTGGTTCCAATAACACAGCGTCTGCCTCTTGTAGAACTAGTTCCAAGTAAATGTCCCATTAATATTCTCCTGTAACGTTTTCAGAAAATCTTTATAAAACGAGTTTTGAGCATGGAACAAGGTCGAACAGCAAAAAACACATCTCTAAAACACTGGAGCATGCTGGAAAGGGAAATCATGGTCGTACTATGGTGAAGATAAGTCACACTGAAGGATCCGATCATAGCCAACATGGTTGTGATGTATAATTTGACGGTAACAGCGAGATCCACCAATCAGTGACGGCTTTATTACCCCTGAGGTTTCTGGGTTGTGTAGTACATCTCCTGGACATTGCTGATAAAACATGTTTCTCAAAATGCAGTTGACGTCATAAGAACTTTTGGCCTCTACAGGGAAATACATCATAATTTCATGATCTTGTAGTTTGTGGTAAGGCTACCATGAATGGTTACAACATTATAGCTTATAACCAATGAAGGGATTTTTACTTCCAGTGCCATGTTTGACTACTGGCTGGAAATTAAAAACAAACTGTGGTGTCTTGTGTTTTGTGAAACCATCTGACAACCTCAACGACTCTTTTCATTAAATCACCTGACCTCCACTTTAGTGCCTGTCATAATTACCCTGGTTGCTTAACAATAAAATGTGATTGAGGGTCTTAATATGCTGCATGCACGGGGCCCACAGGATTTCTTTGACTCAAACATTCATCATTTCTACGTTGATTATTTTCAATAAATTTACTTCACGTAAGGTTGGAATTTCTGATTGTTACACTATAAAAGACTTCATTTTTTATTCATGTCGGTGACTATTTAAGGGACATGTCAACCAGTGGAGTCCGTAGGTTAAAGCCTCAGAAAGTACAAGGAAAGAACAAATATTCTGCCACAATCTGTCTTTATTGTTGTGATTTTTAGATCAATTTAACCATGAAAGAGAATAAAAGGAGAAAAAAAATGACTGAAGTGGTCTTATGAAAGTTTTTATGAAGTTTTTCTGTCTTCAGGATTTCTCAGAATCACCGTTCTTTGTTGAATGATGTCACTGAGCTTCAGAATAATTATAAATGTTATCTTACATAATATTTATCTGATGTTTTCTTTCTCCACCTTTTCTTTGCGGGAAACTAATATCTATCAAACATAACTCTTTACTTAAATAACATTTGTTCACACCTAAATCATTATTGACATAAGTGTATGATTGAACACTTATGATCGAACAATAATGGCACCTTGTTTAGTAAGTACACGTTTGTGTATTCTGTAAAAGGAAGAATGTACTGTTTGCAGATTACACGTCAGGAACAATAATTTATTATATAAATCAGTTCAGCTGCTGTCATTATAAACTCTTGTAGTCCAATTTTGCTTTCTATGCCAAACCTAGAGACAAACAATATGATGAGACCCATTCCACTGAACTGTACATGAACAAGATTGTATAGGCTGCAGGTAGAAGTAATGAGTACCTGTAAGCATGCTGCTGAAAGACGAATCACACGCTGCTGTGAGTCTTGTGTAAGTGCTGTATGCTCTGCAAAATTAGTACTGTGTTGTGCCGGCCGGATTCTAGCTGCTGAAAAAATGACACGTTATGGTCGGACTGTTCTGCAAGTGGACATGAAGCCTGAGAGTCAGACTGGCTGCTCTCACACATCACCAGAAGACTGAGCACAAGGATATTAAGATCAGGTCAGTAGGTTAACAGTACTGGTCTCCCATGACTCAGTATGGGTGAGAACCATCTCACTGAGCAGAAAAAACCATATGCCACTGCAACACTTTGTGACTCCCAGGAGAAACAGCAGCATTCTCTCGTGTTCCCAGTGTGTCAGCAGAACAGTTCACCAGCGATCAATGAAGAGAAGCATAAACTGCCGGTATCGTGTTGGCGATCATCATAAATAATAAACAATGACAGATAATCTGAAATAAAAGTGACTCTTAAATTGCAGTTGTGATCTCATTGCGATCGGCTGTGAAATGAGTGTAAACAACGGTCAGCTGACGTTTATAATACGTGAACTGCACCAATTTATTTTAGGACTTCCACTAAAACACTTTGATTTCAATTTATTACTTAAACTGTCCTCGTCTTTCAGTGAAGCTTGAATCCCTTTCAGTCCATTAATCTCAACTGATCCAGTCAAAATTTACACTTTCATTGACACTTCCATTTCATTCCATGCCCAGACCTCCATGCTTCTGTCAGCTCTTCCATTTTGCTTCAGAAATTGTATTTTCGACCTCCATTCTAACTTCAGCATCAACTGCTAAACTGAGCACATGTAGATCTCTTCAGAAAATGTCTAGTGTACTTGGTTTACGTTTGTATTCTTAGCTGCGTATCTCTGCGGATAAACATTTTATCAGTAATAAATGGATAAATAAAGAGGAGGACAACCACTTACACTGTTACTGAAAAATGTAGTTGAAAATGTTGTTGAAAAATGATTCAGTTGTTCTTTTACTCTTGAAGGGCCATTCATATTTGTGTGTGTTCAGCTATGAATGAGTGTCACAACAGCGCGAGTCAAAGGATGTCAGAACAGTTTAAAATCAATTTTCAGTAGCTGAATATTAAGAGGCACAAAAGAACAAATGGTTAAATAAATATAACATTTAAACTGTCTTTGAGGGAAAAGATGATGATTCCACTTCATTCATTTTACAATTAAGTGATTTGATGGACAATAACTCTGGGTCAATCATTTCAATTTGCAAAAATCATGAAAATCATCTGGCTTTTTTCTCTGCAAGAGATCGATGCCTGTGTTGTCATTTAAAAGTACATTTTGAAAAGTTAATAACAAATTTCTCCATGTCCTAATTAACAACATTGAATGTATTCTAATTCTAATTGTTTGCTGGAATGAAGCACTTCACTTGGATGTAATGAATTAAAATTCACTATTTGTTACAAGCAAGTATTTGTTCTACTTTGCAAGCTTCAAAATCAAAGTAACACTTCTCTGGAGAAGATTAAGAGCTTACATGAGCTGCTGTCCAGTAACGTGTTGACGTCCTCCTCTGTGTCTGATGCTTTCCTCCCCGGCTGCTGCATTCACTATCAAACAGTGTCTGTTCCAGTCTCCTGCAGCATCTACAGCATGGCTGTACGGCCGACACACAGTGGAGCCGAGCAGGGAGGGCGGGTCAGTGCAGGAGGGGGGTGGGTGAGCTGGAACGCTCCAGGACGGATTGAGAAAGGACACTGAAACACTGTGCGGACCCTCCTGTCAGGACTGGGTCACATGGGGGGGGGGCATAACTCCTCTGTTTCGTAGAAATGTGGATTTCTGCTTTTCTAATCTTCATCATGGGTGACAGGTGTAGGCTTATGTTTATGTAACCCACTATTTTAAACCTAGGCCAAACTGGATACTTATTATCTCCATAGAGTCCAATCAGCTGCTAAATACATTTCTAATTTCAGTAAAATTGCATTTATTTGATTTATTTTGATCATTTAAGTGTTGATTGATTCAGTGTAATGGACAAATAAAGATAACTCTAATGGAATGGGAAGTCTCATATTGAAACCTTGTTGGGAAACATCCTGCGGAAGTCGGAGACACTGTTAAATTCCTCAGAGTTTTTTGTGGATGGGACAATCGACCAACAAGCCACCACAAGAAGTGAATATCTCTGACTCTGAATGAACAGTGAAACGTGAGGCGGGCAAGTTCTGACCTGAGAATATACAAAGACACACAATAGACCCCCCTTGTCTGTCATCTCTGACTCACCAAAGGGAAGGAATTTTACAGTGAACACACACCTGGAGTCAAACAAGGAGGATGGGACACACACACACACACACACACACACACAGTGATGGGGGGGGGGGGGGGGGGGGTCATAGGATGGGGATGTAAACATGATTAAAAAAGTTGTGTTTACTATAAGCAATGAACTTCAAGACACGTAATCAACGTTTCAGCTTGTGGTGCGAGTCCCATTGCCACATTCTGAGAGGGAAAGGTGGATTTACAAACACTCAACAATGTTGTGAGCTGTCTCCGGTGGTGGAACACCAATGTTAACCTTTGTTTAGTTTCTGTTTCTATCTTCTACTGAAGTTGCATGCTAATGAGCTAGCCCCGGCCCGCTCAAGCCCAACTTTTTCATGTAGCGTCCAGTCTGTCCCGAGAGCGGTCCGAAGCAGCGAGAGGCATAATATCCGCATGGACCAGCATCCTCCTCTGGGCCGGGGCGTGGCTCCACCCAAGATCCAAACTAAATGCCCAACCCTAACCATAACCATAACCTAAACCTAAACCTAATTCTAAAACCAAGTCTTGACCCCCAAACAGTCCATTAACGGGGGGTCGCAAAGTGAGGAGCGGCCTAAATGTCCTCACTTTGACAAAAATGTCCTCACTCCATTGGTTAAAGGTACACACACACACACACACACTTTCTTTTATTATATTACACTATGTTTGCTTTCTTGTTGATATTTAATTCAGCATCTTGATGTGACGACAAAATGAGCATTTCAACAAGTTGACTTTTAAATGATTCAAACGTTGTTAATCAGTAAACTGATCTTGACACACGATGCAGTCAGATTTATTTGTGTCTCATCATTCATTGTAGGGTTTACAGAACTTAGCAGTGCAAATATTATTTTACCACATAACCTCAAGGTGACATTTGAGAAAACATTGGAAAACACGTCAGCTCACGTCAATATGTAAACAGTGATGACTGGAATAAAACACTGACTGTTTACAGCTTTCAGTCCACTCAGTCCGCTACACAACAGCCTCGATGATGGTGAAGCCTGCTCTCCATTCTGCAGCTCTGCTGTTGCTGCTGCTGCTTTCTGGGATTCTGACTGAATGTAAGCTTTGGAATTCAAAATTTATATTTAAATTTCTTTCAAATGACTGTTATGAAGATTGAATATCAAGAAATCCTTTTAACAGTTTCTCCTGCTGTTTTTCCATCTGTCGTTCAGATGATGATCAAGTTCCTCTCAAGGTGGTGGTGAAGAACCAAATAGATGGTGTCGCTCCGTTGAACTATAACACCTCTGTGGTTCACAGAGGGATCCTACTGGGCGCACTGAAGAGACTCATGAGCCTCAATTCAGATTTTAAGTAAGATCATAACAACCTCTGTCATCTGAGAGTGAGTCTACAACTTAAAACTGTTTCATTGATTCTGATCAATCATGAAGGATCTCCCTTATGGCAAACCTGAGAAATAGATTCATGCCAAACTAACATCGTAACTTAGACTACAGACCACAACCACTGGCTATCTGAATATGGGTCACTTAAGGACTTTCTACCATAGGGCACCAGGCTACTGAGGCACCTGGGAAGAACAAGCGTATGTATGAGCGGATCAATGTCTTTGAAATTGAAGTCTGACATAGGGTTGGTGGACATAAAGACGTAGTAGGAGCCCAGATTGCACCAGAGGTTGAACTTGCCAAGGACCGTGGTTCTGTCAGTGCTCTACAGCCCACTTACGGGGTCCTTCCTGTGCTACTGTCCTTGCTCCACCAACCTGAGCTCTTCACAGGCTTCTCAGAGACCGCTAGAATTCTCTTGCCAACAATGCATATTCGCAATTCTGTCACTTTACCCCTGATGATCGAAATACTTCTGAACACGCTCAGTTTGATCTTTATCTAAGCCAGCTCGATGTTCTCGTCTGTCTGTGTTCCAAGAACCTACTTGGCTGGATGAGAATGGAGAAGATAATTTTAACCTGATAGAAGCCTAATTAGTAACATTTGAAGTTGACCGTCAGTATCAGATGCATCCGTTGTTACCCAGGACGGCAGCCCCTGCTTATTTCAAGAAATGTACTTAGTGCATGTAAATTGTTCTTGTGTTTGATCCTGCAGATTTACCTACACAGAGAATCTAAACTATGGCCCATATCTGGAGAGTGTGAATGGTTTGGCTGGAAATAGTGCAGACCACACATACTGGGAGTTATTGGTCGAGTATCCAAATGGCGCAACCAAAAGACCTGATGTTGGTAAGTCCACTATTAAAATATCAGTTGATCAGCCAATGTCATTATTATCAGTTGAATAATACATCAAATTGTTCTTGTTTGTAGGCATCGGGTGTTACATTCCCGCCATTAACGAGACAATAATTCTGAATTTTACAAAGTGGTGAAGATTAAGAAAACTGATGTGCATCAACACGGGATCAGAGCCAGCGCTGGAATTGTCTGTGTAACTGTGTATTTCATGAGTGGACAACTAAACAACGTTCATGTATGTTAACTGTTGACTGCTGAGTGACGAAAAACATCTGAATAAAGGATCCTTACACGTGTTGTAATTGATTTGCTGATTGTGAATCTCAGAAGAGAATGAACTGTTGTCAACATCAGTGACACAGCTGTGAGTCTTTGGAGTGTTTGATGTTCAGAAGTCTATCTGGTCTGACAGCTGTTTGAATCTCTCTCTTTTCATGCAGTGGAGGTGAATGGCATTTTATTTGCGCAGCACAATTTTGTACTTTGGTAGCATGCAAGTTGTGCTGATAAGTCATGATAGAAACCCCCAAACAAAATAAATAGATAAGCTTCCACTGCAGCCAAGTGCGGTCATGTCCTTGCAAATGTAAAGTTGCTGCCTAATTGTCCCTCAGTATATTTTTACTGATCATTAAGGGTCTTGCCTTTTAAACTTCACACCATGTTGCTGTAAGATCAATGCAGAGTTGCCAGATTTGTATGTTGGGATATAGGAGATACTTGATTATTGCTATGTGGGCTTTAAAATCTTGTTACGATTGCTATTGGACATTAGAAGCAGCACCAATAAATATGTATTCCTGTACACCGGTTGGATTATGTAGTTTTAAAAAGACGTAATGCTAAAAAAAAAAAAAATTGTTATTGTTCAACAAAACTAGGCAGACAGCTGTTACTGTTATTTCCACACCGATAAAAGAATTGGAAAATTAGGCTAAGCAGCTTTATGCAGCAGATAAATGTAAAAGCACTCAACCAAATGGATATAAACAAAATTAAATGTCTTATTTATTAAACATCTACATCTCACACCATCAGTTAGCCTTAAACTTAACACCCTTAACTCCACTTTCCACTATAACAAAACTGGGTTTACCTTTAGCTGCACACACGATACACACACACACATACACACACACACACAACCTGTGAAGGAAAACTGGTTATTCAGCTTCACTTAACCTAACTTTAACCATCCTGATAATATGTACAAGCTGGTTATAAACTGTTTCAGTCAACCCTGGCTTTTCTTATCCAGGTACAACCTTATAATGGACATCATCAAAACCACAAATAAAGCTCTTTGTAAACTCGGGAGTTTGTAATAACAACGTCCAAAAGTGACATTCAACAAGTGAAACGTAAATGATGACTAACAAATGAAAGCAGCTGCATATATTAATTTCTTTCAAGTAGAAGGCTCAACACTCTCAGCTACAATGTCGGTAATCAACGAGTCTTTGTTGAATTAAAACGAAGCCATAATAGTCGTGATGTATTTATACACTGTGATAAACTCTCCCTGCGTTCATTGAAGGCTTTTATGAAAGAACCCTGTCAGGATCCTGTAGATCGATGCCTTTCCAGTCGTCTGATTGGTCAGGATTTGGGTTGTTGACAGGTTTTGATACTGTTATCTGGAGCAGGTTAGCGCTTAGCAAGTTACCATGGGGATTTAAACTAGCTTCGTAGGACTGAAAACTCAAACTTCAAGTTAAAGCTGAAGCTACGGTGATAAAAAAAAAATCCTGCTTCAGAGCACAATGCACAGGCTGAGCAGAAAACCTGTGTTCTTCCACTGAACATCTAATTGGCCTCTTCTCATTGACCGTGAGGAGCTCATTACGTTAAATAAGGAGATTGAAACCACAACATATGCTGAGATAAACCAGGATGTGGACCCACAGCAGCTGGAGCTGGACAGTGGTGAATGTGAAGTGGTGAGTATTATATTTTACACTGTCGCAGAACTTAAAGCTCCTCACAGACAAAAATAGCATCTGTTGATGTAACACTTAATTGTCAGTTGTTACGCTAATTCCTCTATCTATCTATCTATCTATCTATCTATCTATCTATCTATCTATCTATCTATCTATCTATCTATCTATCTATCATTGACAGGGTCTCTGAAGATAACTCAGGCCCCTTTTCCTTTTCACGGCATGGAAGCAGCTTTATATTTAAACTGTCAACCATGTGCTTGTTCAGACAGCTCAATAGGCCTCAATACATTTGAATAATCATCAAGGCCTTTTTTTTAATAAAGAAGGTGGAACCTCTCATTAATAAAGCACATGAACCCAATTATAATGTTGTGGACATGTAGCTAATAGTCTGATTTAAAAAAATATTCTCCGTGGAGAATGTAAATGTAATTTAATCCTCAATCCCAACATCAAATAACTCCAGTTTTACTTTCTCATGTTATCGACTTCAGCGTTGAGTCCAAATGGTCTGATAACCTTCACCGTGTAATGACAGGAGTGTCTCTTAATAGAGCACCGATTGATGTCGGCTGTTTGCATGTGAATCACTCTCCTACAAAGAGCATCTTCGATGACAATGTATTTCTTTTTTTCAAGGTCGGATCGATTGAAGTGTGGGTTTTGTCTTGGAAATCTATTCACTCAATTCTCGCTCTGCTGCAAGATCCACACTATAAAAGTGGAGCTGTTGTGGTTTTGCTGCTCAGAGCTGCGGTCCTGGTTCAACCAGAGGAATTCTGACGCCTCCAGAACCTCCTGCTAGACGACTTGCTAGTGAACAGGTAGGTCATGACTGCTCGGACGAATAACTTCACCCAGGCTGATAAGAAAAATAGCACAGTGTTGTCTACAAGTCTGAGATCACTTTACGTGATCCCAGTGTAGATTTATGATTAGACGGCTACAGAACAGTTTGCAATCCTGTGATAAGAAACAGTTTAATGTCATTTGGATTAGCTGCTGTTAGAGGTGCCACAGCCAGTTTACATTACAACAACAATCTGATTGTTAATAGCTGATCCCCACTAGAGTTGCAAGGTTTAGTTAAGTGATGTATTGGTTGCTTTACTTTTTTTAATAATATATAAATGAGTCCTTTGAGTATGTTTTAAGTTAAAATGCCAAACACTCACTTGTTCCGTTGTCTTTAATGAAGCATTTCCACTATAATAAATGATAACAAATATATCTTTGGGTTATAGACGGTGCGATGATAAAAACAAATGTCAGTCGCACGCCAAAAAGCAATCAATAACAATCTGGAGGGTTTTTTTTTTGCTGCTGCTGCTAGAAAAAGACTAGAACTTTCAATTCAGTTATGTAATAGTTCCACCTCGCCATTGTGTATGTTGGTCAGACGTGGAAATCAAGAGTCACTGTGGATTCAGATTGTTTTGTGAATTTCAGCTCCAACATTCATTGTCACTGAAAAGAGCTCAGCAGCCCTTAGGCAGCGAGAGCTCTGACAGTGTGAGCGTGACAACAATCATTCACTATAATCACACTCAATATTAAAGATTTGTTCACAGATTAACTAAACACCTCTTGTGCTGGCTAAGAACTCTAAAAGGATCCAATTAATTATGAACATCATTCATCACTATGTTTCCTATGACACGTAAAAACTTACTTCCCAGTTCCAAGTGACATTATAATATCTGTATTCTTCATGAGACGCTGAACTGTTGTTTGCAGTGAAAAAGTATTCTTAAAAAAAAGTCACGTGGTTTTGATTACGCCTGTTTTTCAAGAGATCTTCTTCAGGCGGATTTGACCACAATCAGCCGCTATTTAAAACTTTTTCTTTGAGCTTTCTTATTTTCTTCACACCTCCACTGAAAGTCTATTGCTACCACACACAGACATCCTACACAGCCACAGGATTTTCAGTGTCGATGCCTCGATAAACTAACTTGCAGTATGATTTTTGTGCAAAGGGTGGCGCCAGTGCTGCATCCACGGGCGCCCTGTTAAACAACCACTGCAAGGCACAAGAGGGAAGTCTTGAGCTGCCTTCAGCTTTGTTTCATGGCCTGAAACATGTTTTATATCCCGTGGTTTAACTCAAGCCACTAGTCTCAACATACTCTGTCCCTTACACTGTCCCTGCAGATAAGCCTATGTCTTTAGAAGGATCCTGAGTTACAGTATGTGCGGTTACAGCAGGCGGGGGGTAGGTTTACAAAATGGCTGTTCCAACAATTGTTGCTGATGATACTTTGAGCTGTTTTGTCATTAGGAGAGCTTCTAACCATATCCTGCAAATACTGGCAACTCTAGATCAATACATTTGATTGTGAAATCAATTAATTGTTTTATCAATGGATGACTGTGTGTGTGTGAAAGAGGGATTATGAACGCTTCACATCCGCTCACAATTAGTCCAGTCTGGACGAGCTCTTCGTGCTTCCTGTACTTTTTGTTCAGCATGTTTAAAATCTGTCCAGATCAGAATCCTAAACGAATTGGTTTCATGAAATGAGCTACGTTTAACAGCATGTTTTACAGGTGTGGTGACGCAGTTTTTAATGGATATCTTAATTTGCCATCATTGATTCTAAAGGCAGGAAGAAAAACTGTATCTGCTCTTAAATAGTTTGTAATTTTCCTGCAGTGACTTGAGGATCGCCTTGGGACACATTAAAAACAGTTCATCTATTGTTACAGTAGCTATTTGCTTAATGGTCATTTCTAAGCTAATAGATCAGTTTTAAGTGGTAGGGCTTAGTAATTTCATGTCCATTACAAATTAGATCATAGTGACCTCATTCTGTGCATGAATTAATTTCTTATTTTACATTAGTAAGGTAGGATCAATGGAAGACAGTATAACATACAGGCACCACGCCGTTTAGCAACTTCAACATGTCTGTGTGTTCCTTGGCTACTCCTTATTGGTTTATTGACTGAGAGAATGAGGAAACGAAGCAATTGCCTTGCCACCATTATTGCTTTCCACTGCCCCTCGCTATGCATCTGGTGTCGGCTCGCTGCAGTTCACCTCACACATCTGTGTTTGCACAGGAGCACTTCTATTGCCTGTACACAGCGCGCCATTCCCTGCCAAGTTCAGGTGGCAGGTCGGAGAGGTGGTGGTCGCTGATGGGGTTAAAGTTTATGAGCGGTGCGTCATGTTTGCCTGACCCTCTTCATTTGGTCCACTACAGGCTGCTGGGGGCTGCATGTTGGGGCTGAGGGGAGCAGCCAAGCCAGATATAATGACAAGTCTTTGTTGAGAGCTGAGGCTCCCACCAGGATAGGCTCAAGCCAGACAATAGCTGAGGTCACAGGTCCTCAGATGCCAGGATGAGCAGGCTAATGAGCCAGTATTGAGCTCGGAGCAGCAGGCCAGTGTGGTCTGGAGCCGCAGGCTCAGATGGTTCTGACACGGCCAAGGCTAATTTGTCTGTTTTGTTCCTGACTGTGGAGCCTCCTGACAGGAGTTGCCAAGAGTTAACTGGGGAGCTGCAGGGCTAGAGGCCTGTTAATCAGAGGTCTTCTGGAGTCCGAGAGGGTCCGGTCATGAAAGGGACTGTTGGAAAACCCACTTAAAGTCAACATGTCTCAATTGAAAAGAGTGGCCTGAGGACTGTCTGACCTGCATTGACATCAACACTGGCAGAAGAATCATGAGCCATAAATTTAACAGCAATCTTGGTCCGAAATAGCAGGAATATCAAATGAGTGTGATGTACAACATCGGATCTGATGGCATGACCGCTCTGATCCTCTTGGATATTAGACATTTGACACCCGGACTCAACACCCTCAGCAGAACAGTGGGACCCTACCCAACTGGAATGGAATGTAGTTTGGACTGGGGTCCTGGGTCACGTCTTGGTCGGTCAGAACTGAGTGGGTCTGGGCGTCTTTTGGACCCTTTGGTGTGGCTTTTTTTTCTGTCTGAATTGAACCTGTCAAAAGAAATGAATCAGTTTAAAGCACTGCACCATCAGAAGTATGTAGTCATACTGTCTAAACAACATAACAAATCCTCTTTCTTTCACCTTTTCCTCATTTGCACAATTTATCTTCTCCAGACTACAGAGACACACATAAACAGAGTTCTGGAGAGAGGCAGTGGTGACCGGGAAGAGGTTATGATGCAAGGGTTGTTCCCTCCTCATGTGTGGACGTATAAAAACACTTTAGCCATTAATTGTTGTCGGACGACACACTGTACAAACTTCCTCCTTTTAGCCACTTACTCATTTCTGCTTAAAAAAGCAAACGTTGTGGAGCTGACGTTTGCTCCTTTTCTTCCTCCTCACAGTATTTCTGAATGAAGCTCGACTGGCCGGTTGCCTCCTTTGTTCAGTTTTGCAGCTTTTCATTTTGACCTCTTTACACTTTCCTGCCACTCCCCATCACTCCATCAACCTCTGCGACCCAGACACATGCGGCTCTGGCTTATCCAGCGATGGCATTGACCTCTCATTTTCATATTGACCCGCTGCTTCCCATGACCTCTGACCTCTCAGGGTCGAGCCTCCAGCCGTCTGGACCTCTTCCTCCTTGACCTGGCCCTGCTCGCCACACTCTGGACGGTCCAGATGGATTGCTGTCTGCTCAGGATGGCTGCAGATTACATTGTTGTCTCACGTCCTCTTGGCCCGAACAGCTGCTCTGGCCACAGAATTATTTCGGTGATTATATTAGTTTTTCCCATAAAGCCCCTGATTTGGCCTTTATGTGTTTTGTTATTCCAAATCTTTTCTTTGAATTAGAATTCTCCCATTTCCCTTTCGATGGTGTTTATTATGTGTCTATTACTTTTACTGAGAAGCACAATACAAATGCCAGGGGAACTTTCCCTGCCTGGATTTCTTTCTCCCACTGTCTGTCACCCTCTGAACTTGTTGTCCTCATTCCATTGCCTGGGTTTGATACATAGTGTCCTGATAGTGTGCTGGGGGAGAATCTGGGTCAGCTGAGCCTGAGATAGCACAGACACGAGGCTGACGTCACAGACATCACACAGACCAGAGGACGCAATGCTTGCTTGTTCCTGCATCTGCTTTAGGTTCAGCCATATCCCGTGTTTATTGGTGGGATCTGTAATACGGCACATCACAGCCCCGCCCGGGCACACTTTAAATAGAATGCCACACAGATCTACATAATATTTTTATCTCGCTCAGGCAGAGATGATGCAGGAAATTGTTCACTTGAGCACATTTCATAATCAAAATGTATTGCCTTGCCATTCGGGTGACACGTCCATCAGTTTTGGATTAAATGTGACATCAGTGAAGTCCACAGAGCCGTCTGAATTGCACATGACTGAATTACTTGGACTGAAAATATGCAGCACACCAGTAATAATGGTGTTTTTGGCAGCGAGACCGAGTTTGTGATTGAAATGATGTTACTCAGCAAAATATTGTCTTTGTAATTTTATCTTAAATTACACTGCACTGTTTATTTTTTGACATAGGTCCAAGCAGCATTACTAATCCCTGCTGTACTGAGACCTGCAAGGAGGGGGGGGAGGGAGGACCGGGTTGGGAAGGGAGGGAGAGAAAGAGCCGTGAGGGAGGAGGGAGAACACAAGAACAAGAGGAAGTGAGTGTTCATTACAAATGAACTTGTGTGCTCAGTTGTGGGCATGCCCAGTAGAGTTTGCCTTGCAGCTTGAAAAGCAGCCTCTAAATTTGAACAGGAGGGAGACAAGGTGACTGAGACTTTTGTTGCCGCTCTCTCTCTCTCTCTCTCTCTCTCTCTCTCTCTCTGTTATGTTCTTTTTCTCCTCCTCTCCCAGTAGTGTGTATGTGTGTGCTCATTTTTAAAATTTTATTTTTATGCAATGGAAGAGCAAGAGGAGTTGCAGATTTCAGCTAGTGAAGAATCAAGGGGAAGTAAATAGACTGAGAAGAAGAAGAAGAAGAAGAAGAAGAGGAAGAGGGGAAAAAAGGCAAGAGACAAAGACTTCACCCCATCTCCCTCTTCCTCACCCTCATTCCCTCCTCTGCCAACGACTTTTACCTCACAAACAGCGGAGGGACCAACTTCAAAAGGCGGCCAGGAGGGAGCTGGAGTGTGAAATCTGAGAGGAGCAGCAAGATGAGAGGCTGACCGGCGCTGTGTTTGCTCTGCTGTCCAGGTCAGTGCCCAGGAAAGACCCAACAACTCCTTTGCTCTTTCTCCTTCTCTTGCTTTTATCACTGCCTCCAAACTCCGGTTTGGTTTGTGTACGTTGTGCATACAGTCCTTTTACATCGGCTTGTTTTGTGAAAACTCTGTGTGTGCTGCCACTGAATAGTGTAACAAGACTGACAAAGTGAATGAGACGCTGAGCATCACAGCATCTCCTCTCAGCACCATCCGTCAGCAGAGGGAGAGGACTGAAACTCCAGCTGCTGCCACCACTAAATGGAAACTGTTCAGTTGATCAGCTCAGATGTTCATGTGCGTGTGTGTGTGTCGAGGGAGGACGAGCTCGGTGAATGCTGACACGTGGTTACGATAAGGGAGAAATCGTAGAGACGCACTGTAGCCTGGTTGTTCACTCGTGTGTGTGTGTGTGTGTTTGCGGTGTAGGGGTTGTGACAGAGGCGTGATTAAATTTCAAGTTCTGTGGCGGGGTCTTGGATGCATTTGTCCCAGAGCAGCTTTCTAGCGTCTGTATCGAGGGAGGATGTTTACTAGTTTGGTTTCATACCTGTAAATTCCTGCTGCCTTCACCTAAACTTAATTTCCCCAAATCGAATCATATTTTTCTGAATTTAATCAAAGTTACAATTATCCTGCAGATATGTTTTTATTTGTTTTAACAGCAAACACAATTTCGTTTTTTAAGTCCACAAAGGCAGGAAGGTTATTATTGATTACAATCTAATATTGAACACAACAGACAGCTCACCTGTCTGTGACTGTCTTCCATCTGAGGGCCCCCCGAGGGCCTGTCCCATTAGCCATCCCAGCATGCTTTGCCACTGACAACTAAGTGTCAGCAGTGGCCTCCCAGGAGACTTGTTTTTGACAGGTTTATTATTCCTGAGCTTTGGAACAGGGGCACACCATGTACACTATGGCAAGAAGAGATCGAATTTTGAATAGCTCATATTATTATTATTATTATTATCATATTTAAGGAATATTGTAGATTGTGTGTGTTTGTGTGTGTGTCCAATGATATTTTTCCACTGATGCTTTTACTTTTTGGTCAATTTGGGCTTACAGATACATTTTCTAATATTTTTTTAATATCTTCAGATTAAATTGCTGATAATTTTCATAATTCATATTGTTTTTGTAAAATGTCAGACAATTGTGATAAATAGAGTCATTTCCTAAATCCTGAGCCTCCTTTTGTTTTTCAAAGAAATGTAGTTCACAGTGAGACTTGACAAAGAGCAGCAACTGATTCCAAGAAATTAAAAAATTTGTACAATTAAACAATTGATTATCCTAAAAGATGCAGGCTAATTTTCAGATTATGATTATTTTTACTTTACAGATATCTTTCACATAAATGTTCAACTACCACAAAAAAATGATGCAATGTATTCAAACACCCAAAGGAAGCAGTTAGTTGTACAATTTCAAAATTATGAATGTTTAGTCAGTATTATATTCTTGCTTTAATCACTGATAAGCTGTATTTACATGTTCACAGTAGTAACGGCAGTTGTCGTCATTTTTTTTTCACGAAGTGAAGATTTTCACTCAAGAAAACGCGCAAGACAAAGTTTTTTTGTCGGCAATTTCCAACAATTTATAACAAAGTTGGGGGCTGCAGTATCTCTATTTAGTTTTGATGTCATACATTTTCATTTCACACAGTAGATACTTGATTAAATTCCTTTTTCAATTGAGATATTGAAAATATTGAAATGTAATTTGATTGTAAAGTTTCCCTCCAAACCTTGGAAATAATATCTGCACATGACCTCGGTTCCATCTGCTGAGGGGACACCTTGAGTTAAGATTTCTTTTTTTGTGTTTTCATATTTATTTCATTATATCAGACACGATTCGTTTCTTATTCAGGCAGGTGCAGCCTGACTGAAGCCAACGCATCACATGTAGCAGAGGAAATACATTTTCAATGTGTGACTTTAAAGGGGCACTCCACTGATTTTGCACACGCTGTGAAGGTCAGGTTCGGTCGTCACAATTAATGATATTCATCTTGTGAAACCGACCATTATCCAAGTTATCTCAGGTTGGGCTTTGATACAGAAATCTGAATTCCAAATTTGAATTTTGAAAGACGAAGGTCTAATGAAAGATGATGCTTGACTCCCTACGAGTCAGGATTTCTCCTCGTCATCATCCTTTATTTATACTTGAGGGAATAATCGAGGAAAGGAATTTCATCAAAAGAGGAAATGAACAGAATGACAAATCTCGACCTCTGCTGTTTGAACTGAATCATTCTCCTACAGTAGCTTCGTGGAAGCCAAAGACTCAACGTTGCTGTGAGTGCCCCTTTAAAATAAAAAGCTTTATTAGGTGTTGGCACTTATTAGGTTTGCCTCATTTTAATTAAAGGACCCGTCAGTTACAGTTCAACGTCACCTTTTCTGCTCAACTGCCTCAATTCAGGACATTTTTCTTTGTTTGTTGTCAGAATACACGTGAATGTGAGGTGTTGTCTCAAGCAACGTTTTTTTTTTTAGCAGCAGTATTGTGGCTCCATATGGGGTGACTCAGAAAAAGCTGTTGGAGCTGCTTATATCACAACCATCAGGACTTCATTTGTTTAACTGTCAGGATGACTCCCTTCTTTCTGGGGGGGGGGGGGTGGAACTCCTTGAGTCCCACCCCTGACGGCCCATCTGAGGCTCCGTGATCCATCACACAGCAGGCCGCCATGTTTTGTGAAAGGCCTGTGAACTTGTTACCTCCCTCGGCCCCGCCTGACTGAATGTCAGACCCATTTCTCTTTTCTTGCATTCCCAGTTTCCCAGGATTGCTGGTGTATTGAAATAATTGGGCTGCTTTCAGTGCGAGCATGTTGTCAGTGCACCTTCGGAACAGAGGTATCGAGTGTGGTGCCGCCATTTCCCTCTGACCTCCTTCCTCCGCCTCTGCCCACTTCCCCGCGAGGTCGTGACGGGTCGTCATCATGACTCCAGCCTCCCAGCACAATGACACAACACCAATGGTACATTATCTACAGTGGGTCCGCTGGTCTGGAGCTCTGTCTATAGACTTTTCTTCGTTGTCCCATTGTCTCTGGGATCTCTGGATCAAGCCTGTTCAACATGGCTCACATTCAAAATGGCAACCTCAAGGGGCTTTTATTCCTCGAACCAGAATTCAATCACTTTTGTCTCTCCTCTCTCTGCCTCTCTACTGAGTTATTCAGAGTTTAATGAGGAAGGGAAATAAAGGAAGGCTTATGGTTTGCTGGATGATGGAGAGGCTGCCATTTTCTTTCTGTCGGAGGAGCCACACAGTGTTCATGTGAAATGAGTTTTTTTTTCTCGCATAGCAGTGAGGAGGGTGATTGAGATGTCTGAGAAAGAGCCAGGGAGTCTGGAGACGCTGGGGTCATTAAAGTGTCAGAGGAAGAAGCAGCAGTTCCTCAAATATTCTTCTGCATTTTAGATCCAGTCCAGTGGGGGTTTCGTTTGTGGAGGAATTTCATGTATGGCCCTATAATCTGCTGCAAGGTGTTATGATTATCAAACATTAATGCACTGATTTCACCAAAGACATCAAATAGTTATGTGGCGGTATACTTCCAGTGTTGTGCATCATTTTAATGACTACAGAGGATTATCCCGTTACATAACCGAGCGTGGGCGGTTTGGAGACAGCTCCTGGCAGCGTGGGACGGCATGAGACCGAACCCGAGGAAGTGCCGGGCTGCCGCTGGATGACGGGGCTGTTGTTGCAGGGTTCATCGTGGGTCGCGGTCCGTGCTACGCATCAGCTGTCAGAGTGTTTCGTTTACCGGCTGCTCGGGCGTCAGCAGTGATGCAAGGTTCTTCTGTCTGACATCAGAAACAACGCTCCAGAGTGGAGAGGTAGACGAGTTCAGCTGGCTTACATGTTTTCTCTGCTCTCTCACATGGACGCACGTAAACTTTGGGTCGCTGAGGTCAGAGCTGGACTGCGGTCAGAGCTGGACTGTCTCTCCAGAGCTGTTTGTCACCTTTCCCCCCGAGCAGTTGTACCAGTCAGCTGCATGTGTGTGAGGTTCCTAGATAAAATAATAAAAAAAAAACACAGAGAGGTTGGCAGTATAAAAGGACATTTCTAGCACACAAACCGAACAAAGAAGAAGAAAAAGACGGGGTGGGCTGAGCAAAGAAGAAGAAGACGAAGGAGAAGACGAGGACACTGTAGATTTAAAAAAGAGAGACAGCCTTGTGAGGACAAAAATGAATTAGAACCATTACATGCAGGTCTGCCACAAATCTTTCTGTGCCCAGAACTCAACCCTCATACACCCCTCATGTCTCAGCACCACAGTGCGTCTATAATGAATATTTTATTGAAATGATCATGTTGGTATAAATTCACTTGAGTTAGAAACTTGACAGAGTTCTGTTAATTGCTGCTGTAAAGTGATTTTAGCAATTAATGCAAATGTGAATGGGATAGTAATTTACTGAGAAATAAGACAAGGCCCAATTATTTGAACATATTTTAAAACATGTTTTAAACAAACACAATAATCAAAAATATATTTAAACTCATGAATATAAAATGGAAAACATTTGAATAGTACAAAAACATAATTAAAGACTGCACATAATTATAGTAATACCCAATGAAATAATAAAAAAATAAATATAGAAAAAACTTATGATGATTAAAAGTATCTTTAAAAAGTTACCATGTAAAGATTAGGTGATCATAAGGAATAAAATGTTCATTTACTCAATGATAGGTTCTCCGTACTGGTTTGGTAGAAACAGTGGATATCATCATCTGCCAACATCAGATGTGGTGTCCCTCAAGGTTCAAATTTAGGTCCACATTTATTCTCACTTCATATGTTTTCTCTTGACTCCATCTTTCAAAAATAAAATTCATCCTTATGTAGATGACACTGGATAACACTTAAAAATCAAAGAATTGCAACATGCAACTTAAAAAAAAACATAATTTCACTTTTTAAATTGACTCCTATGCAAACAACAA